CTATATATTGAAAAAGATTAAAAAAATGCTAGAAAACTTGGTCAAAGGTTGTTTCGACAGAACTTCCCTCGCTCCTGAAGTACATACAATAAAACTTATCCCACATTTTCCAAAAATTATAAAATTTGATTTTGCGAATTTCATTCTTTTATGAGAACTCCCGTAAGTTGAAATAAATGTATGTAATGTTAAAGTAAATGTAAAGGAGTGTACTAGTGTACGTTTTAAACGAGTTTTTACTTCACAAAATTTTGTGATGACGTCATCAATAGTTTTGCAAAGACACACATATCTTGGATTGATGCAGTGTAATACTAATAGTCACAGTATTGTATTCCCATATGTTAAGGAAAATGGAGTCAGCCGTTCCTGATTTAATCACTAAAATAAATTGACACATTCATTAATTTTTTGTGCCATCTGTATAAGCAGATAAATCACAAGTAAAAACTCATCATATTTTGTACATTCTAAGCCGGATTTATTAGGCAAAATTTTGAGGTGACGTCATCAATTGGGGGGGGGATAAACAGTATAGGTATTTTGAAAAAAAAATTACCATCTTATGATAATTTTAAATTATCTGCAACATTTCAAAGATTCGGTTTTGCAGATTCATTATTAAATTGCAAAATGTTGTTCTATAATTTTGATTTTTTTGCAAAAATCTGGACGTTTTCGGATCAAAAATGAACACGACATCAACTACTTAAATGGGTCTGTTGATCTTCGCGAAATTAATTTAGTCCTCAGTTGTAGTAAACGAAGACGACAAAATGATTAAGTTGGAAATTAAACAACTGATTTTTCTGTATTCGATTAATACCTATTTTGATATCAATTGATCTCTTCCACTCCTAGTTGCGTAATGATAACGTAACCACTAGTGTAGTCTTACTGAGATGAAGTTGGTTGATTACACTGTTAGACACAGCTAAATAAAGAGCGGTTTTAAATACGTGTTTCCTTCTTAAATATCCTTTTTCTATAGGTTTTCCCATATACGCCACAGCTGACTAAATGTAATTCTAATAACTGCAAAGAACCACGTTATCCTTTCTTTTTTTTTTTCATTTTCCAGGTGCTTATTTCATTTCTCGAGCATTAATTCACAGTTTGATATTATTTTTTCTACCGTGTTTTTTTGCTGTTTCTGTATTTCATCATTCCTCTTTCATTTTGTTTTTTTACTTTTTTTACAGGAAATAATGCAGAGTATTCTGCTTTGTAATGCAACATAAAAATTAGGAATTTTTAACTACTAGAAAGACTAAGACAGAGAAATATTTTTTTTAAACCACTGACAAACTAATAACATTAAAGCAATGTATAGACTTTCGAAACGTATTTAATAACAAATATTTCATTAATATCACCTAATTCTTACTGTTCTGAAGTTATTGAAGTCGATACCAATTGCTGAAACGACGATCTCTGTACATTGGATTCCTGTGTACACTAGACACTTAATAAAGTGCCAACCCTAAAATCACATTTCCACCATCGAGCCAAACATTTACCGTTTTCTAATAAATTCGAGCCTCAGACTCGATTTAAATCAGGTTGTGGTGTTGCCGTATTTCATTTTGTGGTAGTTTCGTCTACCAAACACGAACAAAAGCTTCCATTGTGACCGTCGTGACGTCACGTCCGCCCTGCGGCGTTCAAAGCTTCTCGTAAGTGAATTAACAGCAGTGCGGATGGAATTGTTTGCTGCTAACGTGATTACGGTGGATCCGATACAGCGACCACACGAGTCCTGTTTACAAACTCGCAAAAACTCGCACGGAGAGTCGAGAGATTAATTACGTGGGCGATTTGTCGAAATTCAAGAAAAGTCGGCGACTGCGAGGGTTAAAAAATCTGGCAGAATTTCGCCATTTGTATCAACCGAAAAGATGATGATGAAGGGGCGCATTTCGCTCTCTGATGATAAAATACAGTCGGACTGTCATAAAGTTGCATTTGTCACAGGCACTGCCGACCCACCTCATTACTCATCAGGTGATGCCAACATTCACCTGACGTCGTTACCAACCGAAGAAATATTGCAATCCCCATGCGACGTCAACCAATCGGAGGAAATGTCATAAGTCGCCCGGCGCATCCACCATATTTCAAGCGAACGGAGTTTTTGTTCTGTGATCTGGCGGAAACGAACATAAATAAAATATTACTTAGGATATTGAAAATTCACATACTGGTTACACTTCACTTTAACATGGCTAGTTTTATTAAACGATGGAAAATAATTGGCGACACTAAATTAAAACACAGTATTTAAATATACACACGACCATATGAGGTTTAAAACTTCATACATGCATAAAATTTTTATTTCACGTAAAAAAAATGTTAATAAGTCGATTTTATATGAGCATAATTTAAAATATGTTCCTTTCATATTCCAATCAATGAATTTATCAAATCCTGCAGTATTCGTAATTACTTAATACATTACTAGGTCTATGAAAAAGATGATACATTTTTTAGATCTGATTGGATAATGAGAACCTCTAACACAAAACACTTCTGATCTGTATAAAACGAACAGATAATTAAAAACTTCAAAGGTTTTATGCAAATTGTTGTTTCAATAAATAAAGAATTTCAACGTGTAATTAGCTGTCAGTCAGTTGTTTCTGTTATCATTTTTAAAAGATTATTATAATAACCTTAAAAATTCAGATTCAAGCAACCTGCCTCACATGATATGTTACAAAATTAATGTTGTTTAACACAAAACTGTCTTACTATACCGGGTGACTATTAATGATTGAAACAAATTATTATGTTTTCGATTCTGAAATATTGGCATCCATGCTAGTACGTCAGTTCATAGTTTGTCAATTTTGGCATGCATACGTCTAACGTGTTGATTGGTTGAGACAATGACAGCTGTCAGAATTGTCACCTTGCGTCAAATTTTAAATAGGTTTTCGAGGTATACAGAAATGGTCTTTTAAATAAGTAAAAATTGAGGATATTCTTTCTTTATTTCTGTAAGATTGATTAAAATAAATAAAAATTTTACTATTTGACGCAATCAGCAAGATCGTTTATGAAAATCAACAAGAACACAGGACCGGTATGATTTCCCGATGGAACTCCAGACATGCAGCTTTTTTTTTTGAAAAATAATCGCTTTTCTTTTAGGTGAACAAACTCCCGCATGCGGAAGTTGTTATTTACTTTATTTATAGTCGTAAAACTGAAAATAACGGTACATTTCACTACGTACGCATAAATTTATCAACAACAATCAACAAAATGTATGCTTTAATTCCACCGTTACACTTCACTATTATTATTCAATGTAGCTACCTCAAGTGAAAAAACATTGGTTATCATCATTGCTGTGGGGTTTTAATAACACTTTCCCTCAACAGCTATCTCTGAACTTGACAAAAAACTATGCTCTAAACTTGGAGTGTTTTTACCAATAATTTTACTCCCCGAATCGTTCTGGTTTAAAGTGTTTATCAAAAACCTACCTCTTGATGTTTCAACGATCACTGAAGTGTCGCAAAACGTGTTTAGTTTACTAAACTTCAAAAATCTTTTTATCGTTGCATAAAAAAAATTATTGACTTCCAAAAACGTACCTATAAGTGTCGATTAGGTTCTGTACATGTAAAAAATAGATAATGTAGTAAATTAAACCAAAGGATTTTCTTGGACTCCGTAATTAAGTATGACGATATCGTATTTCATTTTTTTCGTTCAGTACAAGACCAGATACAAAGATAGTAATAGTTTTATAAATAAAATCAAAAATGATTTCAGCCAAAAATAATGCTTTATAACTCTTGTCACATTGTTAAATCTTTTATTATCCACGTATCTTTTCGTTAGGTTTCCGTACTTTAATTTTATACTTCAATTTAGTTACGTATTACGTGATTGAGCGTTGATGTATTGGCAACACATAAATTCCTACATAGAGTTTTCAATTCGTTAAGTTGTCACATACTTATTCAACGATTACCTCTCCATCAAACCGATTGACACATTGTTGTTTACATGAAGGTATTAGGGTTATTGACATTTTATATTAAGGATAAAGCGAGTCAATTCCTTTACATGATTAATCGATTATGTTAAAGAATAGAACACTAAATTAATTTTATGATGGCAACTTCAGCATAAAGAAACAAGATTAAAAATTTGTGTCCAATTGTCAACGATTACAATTTTTTTTTTTTTTTTTGTAACAAATAAGGCTACATTATACAGACACTTGTAGTTAAACTAATCAGATATCAGAGAAACTTCTAGAAATGATTTAGTTGTAGTTTATTTAATAATTTTTTGTATTTCTTCTATACGTGTTTGTTTAAAACATGTGGTAACTAATCGGTTATCCCGGAGTAGAGGAATCATAAATTTTGTGGTGCAAATTTATTGACATTTTTGTCATTTTCATCAACACAATTTAATTTTTGGAGGTAACTTGCAACGTCGAATTTAATTTATTTGTGTTCGCGTTAATTTGATAAGGGCCGTTTTATAAAAGGCAAATTAAAAAATATCGATTTAAACAAGTGATTAAAAGTGATAATGCCATGAAATTTAACCGCTCAGATTCTCACACTCAGTTCTCTCATTCACGCGTAATCATTATATTATCACCCAAATTGTTATATTATTTCTAGCATAAATAATGAAGGTATATGAAATAGAAATGTGCTGCATAATCTGATTCTGAATGAAATTATTGACATTTAAAACGTCATTAACGATCTCCATTTTAGCCTTTATGCTTTAAGTTTTTTAACACATTTTGTCCTGGGCTTCCTCATTCAAGTTAATGTCTCTTCTTACTTAATTAACGAAGTTTTTAAATTTCGAGCATTTTAGCACAACTTCATAATACTTGGGAGAATTGACTATTACACTGCTGTCTTTTCCGTCGTTTTTAATTGAAAACTTTTCTAATAATTGCCAGTTTAATCGCCTCATGCAACTGTGTTTAATTATATTCTTTTTCCTTGTTACAGCTGGAGAGACTTTATATGACTGCAACAAAATCGACTACTTCTCTAAAGAGGAATACAGTCCCGATCCTAATGATTCTACTATGGCTATACCATGTAAGTTAATTTGTAAATAACGTTATTGTAAAAGCGAGTTGAAAGGGTTTCACAGAAACTGTGTCTTAGTGATTGTAGTAGTAAATAGAATAAATCAGACTAAAACAATGAACTTGGCATTATTTTGATGTGGGTAACTTATGTTTTATCAAATCCGTTTAGACCTTCTTCATGTTATTCAAATAAGTGTGCCTGCTAAAACGGTATGATATGATTTCAGTAGTCCTTCAAATAAACGATTACAGGGTGATTAAATGACTGAATAAAAAAAGAAATTACGCAGAAGTACTTCTTACATAAACCTCCGGATGATGATAATAATAATATAACTGACTTAGTGTGTATGATTTTCAAATTCTGTTTATTAATTACCACGCTCTGCAGACATTGTAGGCCTAGAGCGTAACTTACTTCTCAACTGAAACATTTATTTTTACAACACTTTTTCGGATTATATGTTAACTAAAATTCATTTCTATAACCATATATTACTTTCATAGTAAAAGCGTTGATTTCATGACTACTTTTCGCCATATGTTCTGCCCAAAACTTTATCTTCCCATTCCTCTTACCCATTTTCCGTAATTTTCTTTTACACTTTCTATCCATCTTCTCCGGGGTCGCCTTTTTCTTCTCTATTTTTGTAATTATATCCCCACTAATCACTTCACAATCTCTAATTCTCTGTGTTGTTATTTTGAGTTCTCTATACAGGGTGTTTGCGAAATGCACCTACAAAAAAATTGGAGAGGTTTCCGAGAGCATAAGGAATGAAAAAAACTCCTGTTGTATTATCAAAAGTTGCAAAGTAAATTTACCCTTTATCCAAGCTTTATTCGCGCCACTGTAAGAGGTGCTATCAGATTCAATTAATTCACGTTTTGTAACAACATAGCAACCAAAAACTGACAACGAAAGGTGAAGTTTGAAAAATCTCAAGTAAAAAATCAAAAGTATTTTTTCAAAAACAATTAATTTGAAACAATTTTAACTGGATGTTTAAACATTTTGGAGTAAAGAATTATTCTAAATGGTAGTAATTAGTCATTTTTACTTAATTTTCCTTGCGCCGCGCCGAGGCCCTATTAGAACGAGGGCCGGTGAGCCACTGTCCAGGGTCGCGGGTCTTCTTTCCCGTTTTTCGCGTTCCGCTGTGGTTTTTTTAGTTTCTTATAAGAACGCGGTTCTGGACAGTGGTCCGCCAATCTTGGTTCCATTCGAATTTCGACATGATAGGTCATCGTCCACGTGTTTATTTTCCAGGATGTTGTCATTTTCTCTAGTTATGTACAGACTTATTAATGAATGAGCATAGTTAACAAAAAGAAACCACTAATAAGAATAAGACTTTTCAACGACGATAACCAACTAAACTTTACTAATCAAAATAAAAACAAAGAATAAAATTAACACAACGTTAAACAAACAACTACAACAAGTTTTCGAAATGACGGCCTCTATTTTGCACACATGCTTCTGCTCGCCGAATTAACGACGTTCTACTAACCACATCTGGAATATTTCTAATCTGGGCAGCGACATTTTGAATGCGATTTGTCAACTCTTGCACCGTATTCAATGGAGTTTGATAAACTACCTGCTTCATATAACCCCATAAAAAAAATCACAGGGATTGAGATCGGGAGAACGAGGTGGCCACAACACCATTTGTTTGGAAAATTTCGGTCCAACCATTCCCGCACTTCTACGGCATAATGTGCAGGGGCCCCATCATGAAGGTACCATAGATCCCTACGAAGATTTAAGGGTACATTTTCCTAAATCGAGAGGCCAGAACGTATGGACCTATCAAATTGTTGTCAACCATGCCTGCCCAGACATTTACTGAAAATCTGTCTTGAAAATGCGTTTCCCGTATGGTATGCGGATTTTCATCAGACCAAATATGAGTATTACGAGAATTAAAACTCCTTCTCTTGTGAAAGTAGCCTTGTCGGTGGTCGAAAGCTTCTGCACAAAGTCTGGTTGCTCCCTATTTTTTTGCAGCAACCACTCGCAGAACCCCACTCGACAAGGCAGGTCTTCTGGTTCAAGGGATTGCACGCGTTGCAGGTGGTATGGGTGAAGCCCTTGTTCTTTTAGGGTTCGCCACACAGCAAATGGGGAAACTCCTAATCTGTATGATAATCTGCGAATGCTTATGCTTGGGTTCTCTTCCACAATTTCTAGTATTTCTGGTTCCAGGTCTATAACATGTTCGATCCTTTTACGACCACGATCCGTCGTACTTGGCTGAAATTTTCCGTTTTCCCGGAGACATTGAAGAACGGCACTACATGTTGTGTGATGTGGCAATCTTCGGCTTGGAAATTCCTCCTGGTAGAGACACTGCGCTTAATGGGCATTTCCAAATATTCTTCCGTAAATCAAGCCCATATCGGTCATTTCGGCATTAGAAAAAGCTGCCATTTTAAAAGTCAATAAATTTTACGGAATTTTTAGAATCACTAAACAGTGGAGATTACGTTTTTTTTTTAATTTTTACAATGCAACTACAATGGTACATTTTTCTTAGTAAGCACATTATCTTTTTAATCACTATTAACTCAGTAGCGTACATACTATTTTGACCAAATTTTCAATCAATTTTATTTCGAAAACTAAAACACTTTTATTAGAACATTTTTTTCTTAATGATATCTACTCATCCAGACCAATTTTCAGTTTTTTTTTGTCGGTGCATTTTACAAACATCCTGTATATACTTCAGTTTCTTGTTTTTTCTTCTCTTCTTGAATCAAACTTAGGTCTCTTGAAAGATTCAAGCATTCCGTTTCCGTACTTTATACACACTTTTGCTATTGATCTTTGCATTTCTTGTTCTTATTCTGTTCCGTTTTCTTCAAATTTGATCCTCCGTAAATATGTAAATTCCTTCACCCTTTCGATTTATGTTCCCCTTCTGTATTTGAAGTACTAGTTCAGAGTCCGTGTCATTTTCGGTGTCTCTCATTATCATATATACTATTTTTTGTTGGTTTATTCTTAATACAAATTTTCCCGTTTCGTGTAGTTTGCGAAAAACTTGAGTAAGATGCCGTTTTCACGTGCAATCGCTAGTGATTTTAACTAAATATGCGCGCGACCCTAACACTTTTACAATTCTTTCGGCACACCAAGCTGAATTTGTGCTGCTATAGCCACGTGCTAGTATACCACTTAATTTAATTTAAGTTCTCTACAGGCCACGTGGGCCTAGGGCAAAAATATTCCAATTAATTCGTTTACAATGTTTTTAACATGTTGTGGACTATACTTCTCCACAGTCTTCTGTCTCATACTCCCTCCTGTCAATCTCTTATTTCCGCTGCTCTCATATCTTCTTGTACCTTTTCCATCCATCGTTTTTGCGGCCTTCCCTTTCTTGTCCTTCCGATTGGCCTTCTGTTCAAGATTCTTTTGGCATATTTTTCTGTTATTCGTTCCACGCCCAAACCACCTAAACCTTTGCGCCTTAACATGCGTTACTATGCAAGAAGCCCCGAAAAGTTCTTTCAAGAATCCCCGAACAGTTCTTTAAGTTTTGCGTTTGTTCTCCTTTGCCAGTCTTCCTCCGTTTTTTGATGGCTCTCATCATCTTTTCCTATCTATTTAAAAGCTCCTTTTCTGTTTTGTTTAGGACCCATGTTTGTGCCGCATATGTTACAGTAGGTCTTAACACTGTTTTATATAATGTCACCTTGATATTCCCTGACACATATCTTGAGCATATCAGTGCTTTTAGGCTACCAATTTAGTTTTGATTTCTTGTTCTTCATGTCCTTTATCGTTTGTTTCCACTCCTAAATAGAGAAAACGGCTCACTCGTTCAAATTCATATTCTGTGACGTTATCTACTTTAACTTTCAGCATTCCAGTTGGTTAATTCGCCACTCCCATCGCCATCTACTTGATTTTCCTTTGGTTAATAACCAGTCCAAACTTATGTGCCTCAATGACTATCCTTCTTGTGATTTTCTGTAGCTCTTTCACAGATTTGACTAGCAACATGCAGTCATCAGCAAAGGCTATTACTTGATGGTCATTACAAAAATAGTTTTTTTGGTCTTTAGTCCGCTTGCTTAAAATCAATAAAGAAGGTGTGTATCTTCACGTTGTATTCATAACAAGTGGTTTGTATTTCTTTTCTTGCCAAAATTTGGCTTGATAGTCCCTTAGTTGCCCTTCCCATATTCGTTCAGCATTTCCCCTATCAATTTGGTCAGTATTTTATAACAGGTGTTAAATAGTGCGATCCCTGTGTAATTCTCACATTTTTGTTTGTCCCCTTTTTTCAGGATTGAACTTATCCACGCTTTGGACCAGTTTTGTGGCATTTTCTCTTCTTCCCAGACACGGATCATGAGGTGACTTATTTCCTTTCATAGTTGCTTTCCACGTGTTTTTCGCATTTCGCCTAGTATTTCACTTTCTCCCGGACTTTTGTTGTTCTTTAGATCTTGTATTAAGGCTTGGATTTCTTCCTCCCTTGAGCCTTTCACAACTATACTATCATCCTCAATGATTTTTTTGGTTGTTCCATGTGTCACTTTCATGTCCGTTTAAAAGTTTCCTGAAAGATCTTTTCCATTCCTGCATGACTTTTGTTGGCTCACTCACTAGTTCGCCAATTTCAGTTTTAATAAAACTATTAGTATTTACCTTGATACCCTTTTTCGATACGCTTTACTCCCTGGTAGAATGATCTCACCTGCTTGTTTTGGAACTTTTCTTCTGTACTTTTTATTTTACTTTAATTTGCTCGTCTCTTTTTCTCATGGCATTTCTTTTTTAATTCATGTCTGAGTTGCTTGAATATGTTCTTTTCGTCTGCTAAATCATAACATTCTTTATCACACCACTCCTTTGCATTTTGTTGCTTTGCTTTGTTTGGGATGATTGACTTACTGACTTCATCTATGTTCTGCTTTATTATTTTTCATTGTAATTCAATTTGAGACCGTCGCGTTGACTGCTGTTTTGCCAGGCTTTGTTGATTTCATCCCTATACTTTTCTTTAGTATATGCATCCTCCAAACTTTCTACGTCGTTTTGTTGCTTTACCTGTTTTCTCCTTTTTTTTCTCTTGTAATAATATTTGCAGCTGGCCCTCCAGAGATAATGGTCAGAATCACTATACGCTCCTCTCATGCTTCCGGTTTTTGTAATGGAATCCATATATTTGTTCTGGATGAGCACATGGTCAATTTGGTTGGCTGTGTAACCGTCCGGCGAGGTCCATGTACCTTTATGTATTTCTTTTTTTTAACCTTTTTTTGCATTTTTGATAATAATCTATGACCATAATCGTTTGTTTCCTCATGCTTACTATGTTCCACACGGTCTCATAAAATATGTCTTCCAGTCTTCCTGTTTTTCCTTAGTGGGTACATGTGTATTCAGGTTACATATATTTCGCTTTTCTCCCTTTACTGGTATGGGGCAGATTCGATCCGATATAGGGTTAAAGGCCATGACTTTGTCATTTAGCCTCTTTAAAACCATGAAGCCCGTATCTAGTTTCCTGTCCCTTCCACCGCTTTTAAGAAATGTTGCTCCTTCTATTTCTGGTATTTCTAATTCCAGTGGTGAGTTGTAAAGGTTCCTCTCACATTCCATGCCACTAAGTTCATGCCTTCCTTTTTCTTTATTTTATTTAATCCTGTCACATTTCCTTCTTCGTTGCCCGGTCCGTCATATTTTTTAGGTAGCCTATTAACATTGCTTTTTAAATTTAGTTCTGGTTATCTTCCTTAGCTCTGTGTTTAATGTGTCACGATCTGTTCTAATTCGGGTTGGATTCTTTAGCCTTTGGTTTATCACTAATTTGTTGTATCTTATAAATGCTATTAACCCTTACCTAATTGCTTCTTTTACTTATGATATCAACTGTTTGTGTTCTTCTTGAACTCTCCTTAGATAGTCTTCCTAGATTCAAATGTTAGAGCCCTTAAGGAGTTTTGCCTTCTCTAATATTTTAGCTTTTGTATTTTTCCTGTTCATTTTTACCAAAATTGATCTTTTTAGATCTTTCTTATATTTGCCAAGTCGGGTTATTTGTTATATATCCGTGTCAGTACCGACTTCAATGCCTAATGTTTGCAATACCTTAAATATTTTACCTGTTATCTCCATCTGACTTTCATTTTCACTATCTGGTATTTCCTTTAAGACCAGATTTTTACTCTTGATTTCCTTTTCCATTTCTGTGATTCTTATTCAAAACTTGGTAAATGAGTCAGAGCAGTCCCACACTGCTTATCAACACAACATTTTTTTTTGTGTTAGTACAGCATCGTTAACTTTAAATTTCTCTGATAGCCTACGTCTATAATTTCTAATCAAAGGGTCTATACTTTCTTACGCATCGTTTCCTTAAAGTCCATTTCACAAGAATTTATTTCCTTGATGTCGGGTAACAATTACACATTGCTGATAAGTTTCCAGTCGTACGTACAGTGAATAGTATTTCTACAATCAAAAGGAAATTGATTTAATACTAAATTAAAATTATTATGAATGTTATCCTTTGGACATTTATGTAAGGCTCTCTTCACCGATTTTGTGAAATTTTCAAACTGCCCATTCGTGGCTGGTTGTTCTGGCGCTGATCTTTTGAATCGGATACTGTTAGATCGCAAACAGTTTTGAAATTCTTCCTATGTTCTGCCATTATCTGATACAATGATTTTAGGAAATCCAAATCGTGCAAACACATTTGGCAAAAAGTTTATAGTTGCTTGTGTCGATGTATTAGTCATTACAAACGCTTCTGCTCCCTTCTGCCTCCGTCGACAAAAAAATTCTGGCTTGCCTCACCACTTTTCCTCGGTCTTGTTCAAACCGCTGCCAGATGGCCTCGAACTTCGCAATTATGACATGAGTAATGTTGATAACGACACTTACTGACATGATGCCTTTTTTCCGCAAACTTTACAACGAAACTGTGACCAAGGCTTGAATGCTCAATTTTGGGAAAACTTCTCCCTTCCAGACACACGACCTTAGTTTTCTCTCGAGCCTTGTTCCCTTGCCTGTGCTTGTGTCTCCCAACACGTTTTCTGGCGAGACAATTCAAACACTTCCCCCTCTTCCTTCTTCCTCGGCACTTCTTTGTCCACGACATACCGATGCCTTAACGCCTCCTTACTAAACACAATGTCAACATTCTGTTGAAAAGTGAGGTTCGTCACGTCTTCCTCCAATCAGCAGTCTTCGTCCTTTGCCGAGCCCCATGGTAAAGTGATCCCTAAGCACAACTTTTAGCTCTACTCCGAACTTACACCACGACGCCAAATCTACTATTTCCTCTTCTCTTCCCCTCACTGCATGGTAAAATACAAACCTCTCTGGGAAACGTAGCTTTTGAGGTATAAAACGGTTATCGAAAAGCGCAATCAACTCTCTGAAAGTTGGTGCTCTCTTCTAGAACACAGAGATTCCACAGGAGCTTGCAATTCCTATGCTAACAAACAGCCATCCAGACAATGATTTTCCGTTGCCTTCTCTTCCTTTGCCTTTTTTCTTACCCTGTATTTCTCTTTGTTATGGGTTCAAGTCACCGTTTTTGTTTTCTATCTGCTTCATTTTGCCTTTGTTTTTCATAATTATTTCTTTTTCGCCTGAATTATTTAGAACCGCCAAATACACTTTATGTTCCAATTTTTTTGCCTCTGCTCAATTTCCTCCTTTAATGCATCCTGCTTATTTCCACTCCAATGAAGAACTACATTGTTACGCTTTTCATTTCTCAATTTTTTCTTAATAATAACTCTAAAGTATTTTGCAAATATGTACATTCTGAATGTAAAAATGCATTCACTGATTCTTTTTACATTTTTCCGTTTGTCCCCGCATTGTGTAAATCATGCGAATCCATAATATCGAAAGACTTTTATTAGGTACATGATTACCAATGATTTATCTTGTATAGTTATTAGTTTACTTACCCAATTCCTTCGATGTATCGGATGTTCAACTAAAAAAATCTTTAAGTTGGCCTTGATTTTTGTAAACATTGTGAAATACATATGTACATATACAATAAACCTAAAATATAATCGACAACTGGCAACATGGATTGATACAATCTAATCTCATTTTTTCCTCTAATAAAATTAATTCTTTCCATTAAATGTCAGTTATCCACAACAGTATGTATTAATAAAACACATACGAGTTTCGTTGTTTTCTTCTGTACGAGTATATAAAAAAAACAACGTTAACTTGATTTTTTCAAGGGAACCATTTCGGACTGATTTTGTTTTCCTACACATTAATGATTGTTCAAGCATTTTCTACTCACATCTTATTTGCCAATGCTTAAAAATTATATCAATCGTGATTGACTGCAACAATAGGATTTAAATAAGTTTGCTAAATAAGTTGCAGTGCTATAGATGATAACAGTAACGCAAGAACTTTTATTAAATGAAGTCGAGTGAATAATGTGAATGACAAGAACTTCGTTTAGGTACATGTTGATGATATGCTGTAGAAATTTTCGTTATTAAGTTCGTTTGTTAATAGCTTTCCACAACAATGAACAAGCTATTCGAAAGCTAAAATACTGTCTACAAAAAACGTTCTCAAGTTAGCATTAGACGAGTAAGCCGTTTTCCTTTTCATCGATTGTTCTCAACGGAAACAGAAAAGATAACTAAAAAAACATTGCCAATTAAGGCTTTTTTCTATTGATCGGACGTTATTTATTTAATTCTGAAGACCTGTACTTGAATATGTAATTGTAATTTGGTATACATCCAAGTTTGGACATAGCGAATTAACATGGAACATTGATTTTATAATTTCTCCCAACATCACTTTAAAGCTATTATTGTGTGATACATTTGTGAAGGTAAAGGATGGAAAATACGATTTTTAAAGTTTTTTTACAGTGAATGGGGGCGATACAACTATTTGAAAAAAATTCTAGCCGATAGCCCTCCTTTACCTTCACAAATTCATTAGTCAATAATAGCTTTAAAATGATCTGGGGAGATATTATAAAATAAAGACCAATTCCCCCTGTTAATTTTCTATATCAAAACTTGGATGCAGTCCCCTTTATAAAAATTTTATTATTACACTCCTGTTATTATTGTAATAGGATTATTAAATGTTTGGTCTCGTACCAAAATTTTGAACAGGTCTGTTGTGTAATATAGTAGAATTTAATGGTTTAAACACGTCTTTAAATCCACGAGATAGAAAACCATGTTATATCATGTATTTAAAAAGAAATTTGCTAACAATATTTTAAGATGTCATCAGTTTTTAGAGGGAATATATACATTCAGATAAGCGTTTTACAACCTGCACTGTAATGCTAAAGTACATTTATAAGTTCGGAGTCAACGGGTCTGCGATTTTCTATATTTTCCGGCTAATTTAGTTGTTGTCAACATGAATAAGCTACGAACAGAAAATAGAACCGCAGATTTCAGTTCTTTATAAAAATGCTTGAAATTTTTGTTCACTAACAAATATATAATAAGCCAGTTCATAGGTTTAGATAAGTATTTGCTACATTATGTTATAAAAAATCACTCTGATATCAAAATTTCCCGGCGATTTATCAACAACTACGTATTTCGATTAACTTTCCAAGCATCATATATTTTTATTTTACGAAAAACTCGTAATCCACTTTAATAATCTTTCCTCAAAGTGATATTATCTTCTTGTTATACGTTCCAGCTTTAGTTAGTTTTGCTCGTTATCTTTGTTCTGCTAAAGTAGGAAACTTTCTTTTCGATAATACTATAATCCATTTTTTTGCAGACACAGTAACGAGGTCTGTGATCTTTTTCTTGGCAGCTACCCTACTCCTGTGTAGCGGTTACTGCTGCTGCATACTGGGGCAATGCGTCCGCCACCGCACCCTCTACACATTCATATCCGGAGTAATTTTCATAGTGACGGGTAAGTTGCTCGATATAGTAGTTCAGGTGGGTATGAGTACGGACTAGACGCAATGGCGATAAAAACGCAAACGAGTTGTGTTATTCTCTGAATAAAAATATATCATGGGTAGTTTGCACCCCCACAGCGGGCTGCCTCTTCTGACTACCTCGTTCGTCTCTTTCGAAAAAAAGTCGACATGTTGGAGCTTAAATATGAAGTCATATATCAAAAAGTTTATAATGGTAATAGCCCGGAATGTCGACATAAATTTTATGCTTTTACTATCTATTTACAATGTAAATCTTCTTGTGCCGTGAAATTGTCGACTGTAAGCTCTAATATTATGTTTAATAACACGGTTCGGGGTTTCATTAAAAATACATAAATATGCATTTTATTTGCATCTGAGCCGTACTGCTTTTAACAGATGATGATTAAATGCTAATTGAATGCATGCAAAAAATAGGGATAGCAAAGATGAAAGAGGAAACACAAACATGCAACTATTTCAGCCTCCATAGCCTATTTTTTGCGACAGTAGACAGTATTAATGCATTCTGTTTATATTCATATACCTAGAACATTTTTTTAATTTACCACCCTTTTCAATTAAATCATATATTTGCATCAAACTTATTAGTTTAACACATTAACATTTAAGCTCAATTTTCATCAGGGATCATTAATGTTATTTCATAAATATTGATCCAGATCCTTGAAAAAAAGTTACGTAGTTAGCACATGCGACACATTTTTTCAATACAAAACTTTTTTTATAATAAAAAAACTTTCTCATTTTTCATGGAACGACAGCATATGTTGGACTAGTTCCACTTAAAATGACCGTCGTTGCCGGTAATGTCAGCTGCGGTTTCGACTGAAGTTAGAGGTAGTCATATTTCAAAAAATTCTTCAACTTCAACATAGAATTGAATGTTTTTATAATTATGAACAATTAGTTAACTCTCATTAATAATTCTGACAAAGAAAAAATAGAGACTAGTCTAACAGCCACTAGGTTCGTGTTCATAAGAAAGGTGAACGTTCTCAAAATTTTCAGAAAAGTTATTGCCGTTAAAAAGGTAATAATAAATTTTTGTATAGTAGATACTTTTTTAATGATAAATAAAATAAAAACACTATATTAAAAGAATTGAAAGCTTTTAAAAATTAGTCATCAATTTTACCTGCATTTAATTTAGGTATAATTTTCAGGAAAAGTAAAAATCATTGTTAAAAATAACTTTAATAATAGTAAATATCATCAAAATTTACATTCCGTCACTTAAAAATTATTTAGCGAAACATTCATTCTATCTACAACAAAAGAGGAATGAATCTTCTTTCAAATATTAAAATTGACATTTACAAAATTACAGTTCATGAAATTTCATATGAGTAACCTACACAATTGATTAATTTATTCATTATAAACTGAAACTTTCTCATTGTGGTTGACTGGCAAGAGATTATTCAGGTACAAAACCAAATGTATAAATAACTCTATATGAGTTCAAGATCAGACAACTGCTTGGAAGTTTTTTTTTTTTAAACAGTACACAAAAATTAATCTTCATTGAATCATTTGGATAGTAATTTAACATTGTAACGGAACTTAGTTTTAAAAAAGAAGAGTGGGCTGATAAAAAAAAAGGTTGACAGATAGAAAATAGTATCTGAATGTTTCATTTTGTTGGTGTTTTGTACATTTAAATAAATGAATCATATTACAATTGGCGCCCCCCTAGTGACCCGAAGCACCCCATTGTACATTCGCGGTTAATTGTGTACAAAATTCCATGATGCCGCCGAAACTTAATATTCCAGCTTCAGTTACTCTATCGGCTGACCAATTTAAGCAACTACTATCGACAATTAAGGAGCAAGCTGCAACTATACAACAGTCCGAGGTACGACGAAGCGTATCACCAACTTCTTACACTCGATCTGCAGGTAGTTTTGCTAAATGTAGTGCCAGATTTAATGGGTCAGATGACGCCGATGTAGAAGCTTTTCTAGACAATATCATAACATATAGAAACTGCACCAATATCAGCGACGAAAATGCACTGCGTGGTCTTTCAATGTTGCTCGAGTCTAGCGCTGCTACTTGGTGGCAAGGAATTAAACCGTCGACGAAAGACTGGCAGAGTGCAGTAAATATCCTCAGAGAAGTGTATTCGAAGAAATTACCCCCTCATGCAGTCTTCCGAGAACTCTTTGCTCGTGAGCAAACACAACACAAAGCCACTGATATCTGCGTTTCGAAATTTCGAGCTTTAATCGCACAATTGCCATATAGTGTCGCAGAAGAAATGCAGCTGGATATGGTTTATGGACTTTTAGCTCTGAAGATTCGAAAGAGACTTACGCGTAGTGAAATAAACTCTTTCAAAGATTTGCTTAATTGTGCCCGCGAAATAGAACAATCGTTTCGTGAATCCGCGTTTCGCAAACAAGAAAGAAACACAAACCAGGACGGAATGCAAATAAAGAAGTTACGATCTCGTTGTGAACATTGCAAAAAATTTGGTCACTTAAAGAATGAGTGTCGCAAAACTGGAAAAAGAAAACGATGATAAAGAACTGTCAAAGTCAACATCAGCAAGATCAAAACCTGAGTATTATGGCTGTGGTACTCCTGGCTACTACAGATGGAACTGCCCGAAATGCAAAGAAAAAGCAGACGTCAAAACTAACTTCTTTGAATTCTCACGGCTATCTTTAGAAAATGAATCAAGCTGCGACGCTCCAATCCTACCCTTAGAAGTGAAAGGTGCAAAAGGAATTGGACTCGCCAATTCAAGATCAAAATGGAACATAGCTGGTCACACCCTCTATAAGGTGTTACAAGATAAGGGGGTTAAGTTTGAAACAATGGATGCAGTGGAACATTAGCTGACGGAATTCCTAGAGATAAGAAACTACTGGTACCAACTGTGGACGTTAAGATAAAAGACAAAATAACTCCAACTAGTTTTGTTATAATGCCGTATTTAACCCAGAACCATACGCTCTTAGGGCGGGAATTCTTGAAGAAGGCTAACATTGGTATAGATTTCCAAAACAAGTGTTGGCTTTTTAGAGATAAACCAGAACATACTTTCAAATATGGAATTAAAACAAACTCCGTAAACATTAATCACATAACCCTACGCCAAAATGAAGCTCAGAAGATTAAAGACACGGCAAAAGATGAAATAAACACCCTACCTCAGAAGAATAGCACCATCTTCGAACAAGGGGGAGAAACTACGTTTGCTACGCATCGAATTAACACCGTACCCGCTGAACGGACCAAAGAAGCAATTTTTGCGTGAAGAATTGAATCGATTAGTAACACAAGGAATTATAGAAGAGTGCGAGTCACCATGGTCCAGCCCTCTGGTTTTAACTCCAAAAGGAGACAGCTATCGTCTTTGCATAGATTATCGTAAGCTAAACTCAGTAACGGTTAGCGATAGTTATCCAATGCCGCGAAAAGACGATATTCTTCACACCGCTAAACATACACCATTCATGTCTACAATTGATTTACAAGCAGGTTACTGGCAAGTTCCTGTTGCTGAAGAAGATCGTAACAAAACTTGCTTTGTGACTCCATTTGGGACGTTTAATTCAATCGAATGCCTTTCGAGTTGAAAAACGCGCCCGCGACATTCGTTCGATTGATGGACAGATTTAGATCCGGTTTGAATGACACTGCAGTGTTCGTATATATAGACGACATTTTGATAATTTCAGAAGCTTTCGAGAAGCACATAATAGACTTACAAACAGTGTTTTCGCGTTGAAAACTTTTTGGTCTTCGTGCTAGACGTGAGAAGTACTCGTTCTTCTGTGACTCGATCAAATTTCTCGGACATATACTGACCAGTGATGGAATTAAAGCTAACCCTGACAAAATAGCTGCTATCAAACTGTTGAGACCTCCAAGCAATCGCAAACAGCTGCAAAGTTTTATTCAGACATGTAGTTGATATCGCAAGTTTGTTTCAGAGTTTTCCGAAATTGCACGTCCCTTAACTAATCTTCTTAAGAAAAATGCGTCTTTCCAGTTTGGTGAAGCCGAATTAAGTGCCTTCGAGACGTTAAAAGAAAGATTGACTACCGCTGCAGTCCTGGCTCAAGCCGACCAGACAAAGCCGTATATCCTTAGAACAGATGCAAGTTGTTACGCTTTGGGTGCAGTTCTACTCCAGGAGGAGAAATACGACGAACATCCGATAGAATACGCCAGTCGCTTGTTAAAGAACAGCGAGAAAAATTATTCAACTACCGAAAGAGAGTAATATGGGCTGTAGAAAAATTTCGACATTATCTATAAGGTGCGAAAGTGGTTATAGCGTCGGATCATCAACCATTACCGTGGTTGCTGACTTTAAAATCGCTTTCGGATCGTTTGGCTCGTTGGGCGCTCCGCCTTCAAGGCATGAAGATGGACGTTGTATATACTCCTGGTAAAATCGACGTAGTAGCTGATCTGTTATTGTCTCGGCCTTTTTGCTAGGATGAAGAAGAAAAGGTACAGAGCTACTTCGTTATTGTTGAACAGAAGAACCGCGAATTAAAGACTCAGTTAGCCATTTTGGTTCAAGATCACCACTCAGAATGGGATCATCACCTGAGCAGCATTCGATTCGCCATAAATTCTACATGTTGCGACTCTACGGGATATAGTCCTTCGTTTCTCACATTTGGTAGGAAGATACGAGCTCCTTATGATCTACGCAAAGTGATTGATGCAGAAAATTTCATACCAAGAATAACTCCTTACTTAAAGAAGCTAGCTACTACTCTGTCTGAGGCAATGGATAGAAATTTCAAGCAACAAGATGTCCAAAAAACCCGCCTAGAGTCCAGACGATGACCAGCTGTATTCAAGAAGGGTGACAAGGTTCTCCTGAAATCTCATACTCTGAGTAGCTCCAAAAGTGGATTCTCTTCAAAGCTTGCCCCAAAAAGGGATGGTCCTTATATGATCTTGCGAATTGCTTCTCCTACAACCTACGAGTTAGGAAGCTGTACAAATCCTCCAGAAAGAATTGGACGCTATCACGCCGCGGACCTCAGCCCGTTGGTTGAAGGGACTGGAAGTGATACATTAACGCCCTTAATACCAAAACGGAGGAGGGGTCGTCCTCAAAAGAATGTTTCATCCTAAACAACACCGGAGGGCCGTTTGTGTTGTTTAGAGGGGGAGTTTGTAACGGAACTTAGTTTTAAAAAAGAAGAGTGGGCTGATAAAAAAAAGGTTGGCAGATAGAAAATAGTATCTATTTATTATTTTTTATGTTTTGCAAAGTAAGTTCGGTCACAGATATTTTCAGAGCTAGGAATTTGTTGGAAACAACTCTAGGTAAATTACGCGAATTTAGATACAGTGACCATTTTTTAACAAAATTTATGTAAAACCTGATATTTTACCGTCGAAACATTGTAAAGGAAGTGAAATGAATGATAAACAACAGAAATTATGGCAAATCTTTTCAAAAATTCTTGATATAAGTTAATTAAGTACAAAATTACCCATTTTTGACTTAACGTTTCTAAAATTTCATTTTTTGCAAAAAAAATTTCCATGTGAACTCCTAAAAACGCAAGCACGACAGTATAATTTTTTTGATGTTCAAATAGCAGTAGCAGCTGTACCAACCGTCCGGACTTCTAAAAAAATCTAATTATTGAAAAATCGGAAAATTCAAGAAACCGAGTATTCAAAAGTTAAACAACCATAGAAAACTGAAAAATCGAAGAAACAGAAGTAAAATATCTAAATGTTGAAATATCAAAAAATTATAAATCATAAATTCAAAAAAGTAAACAAACAAAAAACTGAAAAATCGAAAAATTGAATATTCGAAAAGTCAAATAATAATCGTGATTTGTCAAAATTAGTCTTATCTTAGCAAGTATAGCCCCTAGAAATACATAGTATCGTCACCGTGGAGCAAACCTGGCGGAAACTTAACAAAAACAAAAATTATTAACACCATTTGACAGACCGCGAAATTTAAAATGGTTTTATGTTGGATTTAAAGTTTGTAGTTTATATACAAAATATGGATTTTTAATTTGAATAAGATATAAAATTTAATAAATAAAATCTTATTTAATAACTATTAGTTATATTAATTGACAATTAATTAACGTTAAACAAAAATACCACGCCAAGACCACGTGATGACAACGGTTTACGCGGTGTCAACTCTCTGCTGACACAATTTGGTTCCAAACTAGGGGAATTTTTTGCGTTACCAACTGCATTTGCTCCACTCGTACAACAATGGATGACGGTACTATGTATTTCTAGGGGCTACATTAGCAAGTATTAGCCTTAAATCATATAATAAATAGATACCACCATGCCGTGTTCTTTCCCTAGGACAGCCTGTGACGACATCCTCCTGTCATACATCTCTCTCGTGCATGGAGGGATTACAATGAAGCTATCCTTGCCTGATCACTATTTGAATTTTGCGCGCCTAAATTTTAGGAAGTATGTCTGAACTAACTTCGGAAGAAAGATGTTGACAGCTTGATTTTATAAATAATTCACAGTAGATAACGAAAGTAATAGTAAATTATTGGGCAGCAATTGTGATCCTTTATGACTACATCACTTAAAATAGGATCTTTGTTCTAAATTCTAAAATTGTTTTTTGTACAACAACTCGAAAGAGAGGTTAGAAGAAACATCTGTCAAAAGCGATTTGTTGCGCTGGTGACGTACAAGGATGGAAGTGAAATAGACATATACAGATGAAATGCATATAACAAAGATGAAGATGTGGTGATCACACAAGGATAGCATTATACTACTCCCCTTGACGTAGAAAACGACAACAGATAGTTTCATGTCTAGTCACAGCTTTCAGTTTGAGTATTGGTATCTATTTATTATATGATCTAAGGTATTAGCCCTACCCACCCGACCTGCCCTTTATTTTCTTGGAGGGTATATCATTTGCCAAAACCAGTCTTATCTTAACAAGTACCAGCCCTGCCCACATGCCCCGCCCTTTACGCTAAGCGTAACTTTTTTTGTTATATTCTGCTATAAGATTTATTTCTTATTTGAGAAAGAAAAGAGAGAATAGGCGGATGGGCGGGCCTTAGTTTAATTTTTTGGGCAAATTTGAGCCTTGTACTCGCTGGAGCTTGGTTTTTTGCATTTTCCAATATTTTAAATTCCCGAATATAAATGGGAATAAAGTGTTCTTGATAGTAACCTGTTATATAATTATTATTGGCTTCTTCAAAACTATGAAAAACTATTCCAGTATTCAGTTTTATATATAAATAAGTGTATATTAAAGAAAAATAGACAAACGACTGAGTTGTATACAAAAATGAATGATTAAAGGTTGTGTTTAACTATAGGTACCGTAGCCTACCGACTAGAGTTCCGGACAATCGCTACAGCAGCCATTCCCTATTTAGATATGGAAGCATCTTGTGCCTTGTCTAATCCAGTTCTCAACTCGTGACCCGCCCCTGAATTTAGGGATCTTGATAACGTGCAATTTTTCATGGTCAGAGCATTTTATGCGTATTACAAAAAAAACTAACAAGATGGTGTACCTACTAAGCAAACCTTTCAAAGAACAAATGTTGCTGTAATTATTAAATTATATAAAACTCTATAAGGCCCATAATAGAGTTCGGTCACCAATGTTACAGAAAGATATAATTTTGCTAGAAATTGTCCAGCGTCGAGCAACAAGAATACCTTTTGGATGAAATTGGCTTGAATACCTCGATGACTACCTATTATGAAATTGCCAACGCTTGCTGGAAGATGTGTAAAAGAGGAAAAAGGAGTTATTACAACGTTTGAAGCACTCAGGAACTTGAACTCTCCAAATAACATCTATCTAGTTTAAATACATACAGGACTAGAGATCATGGTTTGAGGTTTCAAATGATGAAGGGTAAATTCAGTTCGAAAGTTCATCGGATCATCGATACATCCAATTTAGCATTCAAAATATTAAAGAGTTCAAATGGGAGCCTAGAGATCTAAGAGCAACAAACTGAAACTCCTATAAGGAAGCTCTAAGAGAAAATAATCTTGGGACTGTCAAATAAGGCAGACTCCAAGGAAGTTCTGGAATAGCCCCAATTTACCCAATTCTTGGGAACTCTATAAGACGTGACAAATCAGCCCACGAAAAATACCATCAATTTGAGGGTTTCAGTTTAAAATGCAACGATCAAAAAGAAATCGTCAAAAATACCTGGCTGCCTGTGATCGTGTTTTTTATTGCTCTCTAGGTACAATTATTTCTGAACAAGTTTTTCCAAATTCAGTCTAGATGTCCACTTGCGAATTTAAGCTAAGTTTTTTTTTGTAATTTACTAAAAGCGCGTTTGTACTATTTTTCAAGATACAGGTTATACTGGAAAACGATCTTTACTTTTTCGCTTGAAAGTAGTTTCTGTTTTTAAAAATATGTTAATAAGATTTGAAATTTTGTTTCGTTTGCATATACTGCAACTGTTAGTTCCGTTTAGTGTAGTCCAAAATATTACATCCTGTGAATAAAATAAATGTAAAATAAAATCAAACAATGTTTAACATAATAAATATTTTATTCATAAACTATGTATATTGCGTTACGAGAATACGTTAATCAACACCATACTGCTGTACCACAATTCCAAATCATGTTGATTTATTGGAATTTTTCTCAGTGTGGACCACGTTTCCAATATATTACATTTGGTTCACTATGTTGCCGTTATATATCGGGTAATATTTTAAATTTCTGCTCTAGTAGACCATGATGTTTACGTCAGCCGTTTCAATTGCACCGTTGATGTACACATCATGGCTAACTAGAGCAGAAGTTTAAAAAATCACACAGTATCCGACTGTGAAATGCATATACCCATACATAAAAGCGCAAATATTTTACTAATTGTATACATGTAATGCAGGTCTTGTGATGCTCTTCGGCCTCATCATGTACATTTCCATCTTCAAAGCCGAGATCGGCAGCAAACTGCGTCCTCAGTCTCAGCTCCAACCGCCGGCTTTTTACTACTGGTACGGCTATTCCTTTCTACTCTACGTCAGCGGTTTAGTTACGACACAGCTGGCTGGAATTAGCTCGATTTTTCTCTTCATCTACAAAGTCCAATACGAATGGCAGCGGAAGCACCTCGAAGACATGAAACGTGGCAAAGCTCGCAATCCTATAACATTCACCCACTACGACCCCTCCATGTTCTACCCTTGTCGTAGACATCCCCAAGCATACATCAACTCCAACAGCGCCATCCATTTCCCGGCCAGTTATCCGACGCCGGTGCTCCATCAGAAACGTTATTTCTTCAGTAAAGAACCGTTGCAGGAGTCGCCTTGCAGCGTGCATCGACCGAGGTCGCACTCGAATTCGTTGAAGGATGTTTCCAACTTCTACGACTTTCCGCCGCCACCAACGATAAGTTATCAGTTTGACGAGCATTTCGGAAGGTAAGTCGCTAAATTTAATTCACCAGTAAAAAAAATTCAATTATTTGGAAGTACAATTATCAAAGTTATTATATTCTTGGTAAATTCTTCCTCGGCAAGAAAAAAACAAAAGGTAAATTTTATTTAATGCAAAAAATCATCAATAAAAAGTATTTTCACTATCACTGTCTAAAACAATTTGTTTATAATTAGAATTTAATTTGTCGCTGCAACTGAATCAGTATTATCCATTATTTGTAATATTACTACTTCCCTAAGAATTTCTAATAGAAGGGAAAGAGCAATTATAAATTGTCTTCCCAACATTGTCACTGGTCCACTGAAGTAAATTTAAGTTTAAAATTGTCATGGTTTAGCGAATTATTTTGGTTTAGTTAAATATTCTTATCCAATCCTTACTGTCCAGGGATTTACAAAGGAAAAGGGAAAACGGTATGATGTAATTCGTGGTCCCACGTAATGCCAACAGCTTTGTCAACCTACCGAGTTTGATGTGCAACTGAAGGCCGTTCATGGCATCTCAACTACCTACCCTTACCAGAAAATAATAATTCTCATAGCTGGGACAATGGGTAGTTTTTAATGTAATACGCCTCATTGTAACAGATGCGTGAATATTTCGATCCTAAGGGAAAATATTCTTTAAGGGGACTCGCTAGAGGAGGTATAACATTTTTTAATTTTTCCTATGATAAAATGATAATATAAATGTATTATGGATCAAGCTGCAGCTTTTTTCGTGTTCTAACCCACTGAAAATAGTTCAATCAACCAAAAAATTGTAACAGCGAAATATCGTCAAAAGCACCATTGTCTTCTATGTTTTCCTCTTTTTTGTGAGTTAAGCATCGTAAGGTCCCGATCGTATTAAATATTTATTAGTAGAATAATTTCTTTAAATAATAAAGTCTTTATTAAAATCAAATTACACCATAAATTATTAAGAATAGTGATACAGTCCTTGGCAGAGTTAATAAAAAAGAAAAATTATTGAAAAAAATGTGTTTGAATTCAACACGGTTTGAATGATTAGTTCAGGATCTTGCCGTTACGAGCACGATGCTATTTAAAATTGGGAACCGAACAACCAGGCAAAAACCTTTCTGAGAAGGCTCATCCTGTCGAATTCGATTTTATATGTACAAGTCCTCCAGAAGAGTGAATGTTAAGTCTGCAGGAGTAAGAAGTATTTCGACTAATAATTCAGTGATCAAAAAATTCACATAAGACCACTAGTATGGTCCTACCGAATACGCTGTCGAAATTAGACTAGGTACTTCAATTTCATCGTCGTGAAGTTATGGTATAAAATCTTCCAAAATTTCCTGCTGTTAACTAGTTCCGCAAAGAACTGTTTTTAATATTTGTAGAGATTATTGCTTCAGGGAACACAACAAAAGAAAACAAGAAAAGTAAGTTTAGAAGCCACGTTTCATGTAGCACGGCAAGATTAATTTATAAATTGAGATCAAATTTAAGTCAAAGTTAAAAACAGTTCATGAGGATTTTTGCTTTTGCTTTTTGGGTGTCTATTTCCAATAATAGATTTATAAAATAATCGCCAATTAAAATTATTAATTGTATAAAAATCTTTTCTATGACGCAGCGTTATTAAACGTATTGTTATTTCAGAGAAGACATACGAATTCAGTTCCAAGGATGACCCGGTTACAAATTATATACATTAATTGCTTGAAACGACAAACAGCAGTCTGAACCACAAAACCAGTTTCTTGAATTACATCTTGTATCTTTTGTTCTTTATAAAAAATTAACTTTCCACAAGAACAACCCTTAAAAATTATATTTAAATATTTTGTGGGCGACCAAACTAAACAATAATCCAATCAATTTCAATGAAGATATTAAAAAGTTTCATAAATATTAGAACAAAAATGTGTCTGAGACTAAAAAATAGTTCGCGTCTTAAACTGTTCTTCAGTTACAAGAAAGAACATAGTGTCTAAAATTTTTCCAGTAGTAGCATCTTTCTTGAGAGGTTCTTCAGATCCTGGCGGCAAACTCAGAAGCCGATAACACTGAAACTTCCCAGTGTTATAGTTATACAAGATTCAGTGGCCCTCGAGATTAATATTGGCAAGAAAATATTGTTACGTTGATCAGTGAATTAAAATCGGTGTGGGTAAAACTCAACCATTTAATTCTTAACAACTCACTAAGTCACAGCGATTATGTACAAATTATTTCCGGCACGACTTGTCTGGCTCTTCTTAACATTCGCTGGACTCAGTTCCACTGAATGATCCCCCATTCCCGACGGTGGACTCTATTTAAACCTTTCGTTTCTCTCGATGTATCGAGAACGCCGCTTCGAGGGTTTTCTCGGCCCGTCGCGACATCTGGTTCCAGGCATTCCTTTAGCGAACGCCGCGTCGCCCGGCCGGTGAGTCCTGCTAGAAGACCCCTATGTACATAATATTACATTATTCCTTGACTTCTTTTCGACTGCTTAAACGGTCGAATATATTACTGTTTGTAAATTTTCTAACACGTTTTCAAATTATTATCAGAATTACGCTGAAATGTTTAAAAAAGATTTCCCCCAACTTCGGGACTAATCTATGTCTTAACTATATATTATTTTGATTGTTAACAAAAACTAGTAAAACAAAAATATTTTCATTGTTTGTATTTTATTGCATAAATTTGCTTTGAAGAATTTAGACTTACTAGAGAGCTAAAATCATGGTTTTTATCTTATTGGTAACCTAAAAGTTACCAATAAGATGAAACCTTACCAATCTTATTAGAAAGCGTTGGATAAGTAAATTCAAAATATTTCAGACCACTGAGATATAACAATTTTTAATATAGATCGTGAAGCTAGATTTGTACTAAATAAGACCCACCACTGACCCGGAAATGACTGGCATTCAGGCAAGACTTCTATCATTACGGGTACTAAGACCAAGTAATGATATGCATTGATTAGATAAAATTTAAATTAATGATTAAATATTTTGTTAATTTAAACTATCATTATTCAAAATTATTTAGATTCATTTGGTTCGAAACAGCCAAGGTTTTTGCTATTCAGAAAGCATTAGGAACCGAAGTTAAAAATATCAGACGTCTGTTTTTTATTCGAAATTCAAGTCTTATGCAAAACAGAAACTGATTGAGAAATTGTTCAATTTCTATTTATGTTTGTGCAGATATTTTCTAACTACGGAAACGTGTAGGGAACACACAAGATATATCTTATAATATAATTTATAACACAGCTGTAACTCACATTAAGTATTAACTAACTAATGTTACGACAATGATTCTCTCTTCCCTCCTATGTATTAATTATTCCTATATTGATCACAGAAACGACATAAATGTTGGAGTAACAACAACAACGACAAAATGTAATTAATTACATCAGCTTGAGAAATAAATCAGTTTCTGTAGCTGTCGCCTTAGTTTCCTTATTTTTTATTTCAGTCGAGTTAGACTCTTGTAGCAAGTATTTGTACTTGCACGAACGTCCGATTTCGTCGGATATGCTTTGTTGCGATTTTGTACCGTTTGGAAAACGCGTTGTGCAGGAAAAGACAGTTTCCATCCTTTACTTTGTTTCTTTGGATTTGTTGATTTGGTATCATATAACTACCATTTGCTGCGAACTAGTGTTGCAGACGGATTCTTACATTTGTGACATTTCTGTCATGTCACCTTAACTAGACCGTGTTGTCCTTTTCTGTTTATCTGCTTCTTTTCTTATGTTGGCTTAAGCTTTTATTCGAATAAATATGGTCCCATTTCTTTTTTTTGTTATTTCTTTCTAAAGAAAGCTGATCGGATGTGGCAAATTGTGAGCTTAAATAAATAAATTTTAACTCTTCATAGTGAGATGAACGACGATTAGTTAATATTATACTCCTATTAACCTTGCTAATATTATACTAGTCTTGCTAATATGGATTGTTGTATTTTACAGAACAGTGGCTGTGACAGTTACAAATGTTACAATAAACTGGCTAACGCTTTGGCTAATGTTGAACCAGCATGAAAATAGTTATATGTAAATATTATATTACCAAAATTTCGCAAAGCTCAACATAGCACAAAGGAGACTACAGAAAATGTCAGGAAGACAGAAAACACTGGAAAGTCCCTTAAAGTACAACCCAACAAATTCCGCTTCTTTGAAAAATTTGATTTTGAGATTTTTATTTTGTGTGGCATAAATGATACCCCGAAGCCCTCGAGGACGCAAATTCCACAGGGGTTAGATAATGTCACGTAGAAATTTGTTCGATTTCAATGAATTTGTCTCCTCCAAACAGAGGACTAAGATTGTTGTTAATTAAAACACAACGGAACAAAATGTTCCGAATTTATTTTATTATTATTTAATAAAAACGGGCGCAGCATTATTGTATTCTCGCATTTTCGAGGCAAAAGGCTGATTCCGTTCTTAATATGATCAATAAAAAATTAGAGAATGATTAATTTTATTAAAATTATTTTTTCTACTTTGCGCTGCGCTCGTCGTGCCCTAAAACCGTGCGTACGACAAAATGTTTCGTATCATAATATACTAAATAATAAATATCCCTAAAGAAGGCGGATTAAACAATAACCAAACATATAACAATTTATTTTTTATTCGGTTTTTAAATGTTCGTACAAAACAATTTCTAGATGAGTTTACTATGAATCGAATTATTTTTAGGCGCTGTTGCACACAACAGTTTCAAGGATTATTTTGAAGGGTTGTTTGTGCTGAAACTTGCTACAAAACACTGTCTGTTAGACGAATTGACTATTGAATTTCACACTGATTTTATTATTTTTGAGCGTATTAGTCACAAACGACAATTGTAAACGTTGTTTTAAATATTACTCTAGAAAACACCTTCTAGTCCAGGAAACTGCTCTGCTGAAAACGTGATTCAACTCGTTCACTCCGTAGGGTCCAACTAAAATAATTATAACACGATAAATTGTAAATCTGTGCAGAACTAAAGAATGTATCGGGCCAAGGGACTTTTAAACTTACCCTCAGAAGTGCTCGTCATCGGGTTTTAGTCATAGTAAACTTTTCTACCCGAGTATTTCTTTGCTGACCTAAAATTTAGAGTTATCACTAAGATGAATTTATGCGTAATTCAACATCATGATTGTGAATTCTCTGTTGTTTACAATTATTGATTAAAATTTGCTTGTTTCCTTTTTCGTAGTTACAATATTCATTTTGCTATCGTCAAAATTCAGTCCTAGTGAATCAAGCTAGTTAGTCGGCTGCATCCTTTGCCGAGATGGAAGTAAGCCTCGGGAGTGCGAATGTTTAAAATCCATAGAGGGTGTTGTAGCTTTGGTTAGGACAAATAGACCTTAACGAGGAGACGCTCTTCGTTCCGCTGTCGCTACGTATCCTTACGCTGCGTAGTTTATTTTTCACTCAACTTTGTTTTTTTACTCGCCTATAAGTGTAAATATTTCAAATTCTCAACTAAACTGTTTGGTACTACACCTACATTGGAGATAACTAAAGATAGAACTGAAATTTTCTCAAGATTTAGCATTGCCTTCATTTCTATTGATAACACTTGTTTACAAGGTTTTATATCTAAAGACAAAAATAGTTGAACCTAAAGGATTTGGGTTCGGGAAATTCAAATCTGAAAGCAGAAAAAATTCATCACGTCAGGTTTTTGAGATATTTATATAAACATACCCCGTATTTCTTTTCTTTTATACAACTCTTGTAATTTTTTTATTTTTAAATATATATGAACATATAGTTCTTTGAGCAAATTTGTATCATTTTAAAAGATCATTTACGTAAATAAATAACATGAGTCAATTTTTCAAGTATTGATTTTAGAATAATTGGTTGCTTTTGATTTTTCTACGGGAATGTGAGGTTGGCCTCACAAAGATCTTTTTAAATGATACAAATTTGCTCAAAGAAGTATAGGTTTATCTTTAAGAATAAAGAAGTTACAGGGGTTGTATCAAATATAAGCAACACCCAGTATATATTATAACCATTATGGCTCAAAATTAAAAATAATTAACACTTTCTTTTATTGGCAGTACTGTCAGTTTCTCTTACAACAGACCGACAGTAACACATTCTCGTTCCAAAAACCTTGATACCTTCTTTTTAAGCATATTTGAACAGGTCTTCCAGCTTTAGGTACTATAATTTTACCACAAACGTAAGAAAACTGATTTCCACTTACTTTGCACGATCTCGAAGACATTTTTTATACGACATGGTGCATTAACATGAATCAGTTTAACACTAACAAGAAGGTAAAAGCAAAGTTCATTATTTTGGATTTATGAAAAAACCTGACGTGATAGGGATTATCCGTTTTTGGATTTGTTGTCAGTAAGTAATTTAGAAGTAGAAAATATTTTTTTTATTTTTGGATACGAAAAAAAGTTTAAATTTGTAAACTAGTGTAATTGTAGATATTTTGAAATTTTGGTATGGTATGTTTGTTTTAGGTATATTGTGCGTATTAGGAACAACAATGTCAATGAAACTGACTTCATTGACGTGTTTCTTTATAAATTTATTCTTCATATCAAAAATTACCCAGTATACAAATAATTCTGTATTTACGTTCCATTTCAATTCAAATAATGCTCAACTCAATTAGTACCTATTTCAAATAAATTTAAACACACATTGACATATTTATTTCTGTGTAGTCCTATCGGGAGAGATTCAACGCTCCCCAGCCGACACTTCCCCCGAGACATCACAACCAACACAGTGTCAACGACGGCCGACGTGAATTGCGACGACTTCCTCGGCGAACCCTTCGACGACTACTCGCCGAGCATCCAGCACGAGTTCGTCACCTTCGACTTGGACCAGCCGCTGCCGCTGAGGGCGCAAAGCAGCGTCTCCATCGGCTCGCGGAACGGCAACGGCAGAAAAACTTTTGAAAGTGACACGCTGAGGAGGACTACGCCAGTTTGAAAGTGGCATTTCCTGATTTTGTATACTCTAATGCGGTATTCGACGAGAATAAGCGCTCCGAAGAATGCTCATTTCGTGGACGTTCGTGTGATATTTTACGATCTAGTCAAACAAATTTTTACTCAACCTTTTAAACTTTAAATCAAAGTCACTGAAACATCATCAAAAGTTGTTTGTACCCGAATAATTAACGAATTAACGGCGACACGAATTTTTCAAGTGAATGAAAGACCTATTTTGTAAGGGCAAGAAGCCGTTGTTCCGATTATTGTGTGAGAGTGGTTTGATTTCGAAAGAGGAGAGTGAAACGAGGTAACGACAGCAGCTTACATAGTGCGCTTATGATTCTGACACAAAAAGTCATTCCTATGTCTAATATGAAGTAGTAACTTAAATTGAATTGACAGCACCAAAGGAAATGAAGATCGGTTATTTCAACGCAAGAAGGTTCTATCAAATTGCATACTACACTAAGAACGATAGTGACGGCTTTTTTAAAGCACTGGTTCTAATATTCCATAATTTGTAAACAAAGACTCACCTAGAAAAAACTAACTCAAAACAGTATAGAGAACTTTCATCGTCAAAATACAGTCATAATTTTGTAACATTACACACTCTGTTCATGTTTCTTTCAAATGTACGGAAATTGCAATCTGTCAAAAACAATCAGAGGAAATAATTTACACTATTAAACCGATCTTGATTACAAGACTTACTACTCTTTCGTAAATGGGCGGCATGCAGACAAAATTTCCATCTGTCGTGTTAGTAAATGATTTATCATGTTGATTTGTTTATAGTTCTTTGCTCTGGTGCCACCCCTAGCTACCAGACCATACACTACTCTGATTTAACCTACTCGGCACTAAACAGTTCTGACTAATTCAAGAAATTTATAAACAATTTGACAATCACGCTCTTATTGCTATTGGTTTTCGATATTTTAACAGTTACACATCCCAACACATTTTGGTGCCTTGAAAATAAAACTAGTTTCCTGTAAATAGAGGCTGTTTTTCTTTCTATATGTAGATGTAGTTTTAGATATATATACTCGTACAAAACTTTTCAAAGCATTCATTTCACTATAAAAGTAAAATTTTTAAATTTATGAACTAAAAAACAAAACAATTTGTCTTCACGGCATGTCCAATGTGTAACCAACGTTGTTTTTTTTTTAATAATTAGAAAACTCATATGGACATATGATTTTATTACAAAACAAAATCGAAATGCTCGACAGGGGTGAGAACAAAAATCGTTTCATGGTCCTTCGTACTTCATGCAATGGGCCACGGAAGACTACCATTTACTAGGCAGCACCTAGGCATAGTAGTTAATTTTTAGGGCTTGCAAACTCAAATACCGCAAGCATTAGGAGCTCTATTAAAAGTGTAAATAACCGTGTCATAATTCATCTTAAAGTAATCTTTATGCTAGTCGGCCATGCTTAAAGTTTTCAAAAGCTCGAAACACAGGGCCGGATTCACTGAAGGGTGTAGACAAAATCGACCTATTGTAGAGCAACTTAACTTCACCACAATAAGAAGCAGTCGTAAAAATGCAGTCACTCTGGGACTACTTTAACAAGAAAATCATTTACAAATATCATCCCAATCCAACCTTGTCCTTTTGTAGGACCAATGGGAAAAAGGATACAATACGATGGTTTTGTTCTGTTTTTCACTACTGCTGCTTTCATCAGTCGTAGCGCTTGACTTTGGTTTCTTATAAACTCTGTCACCCTTGCTTGGTATGTAATTTTTTTTTTTTTAATGTTGATAACTTTTTTTTTGGGACGAAGGGATATTGGCAATTTCTAAGTCAGGTCTTCTTTCGATTACAACTCTCTAGATATGGTATTTTCCTTTTCTTTTAAAGCATTTCTATAAGGTAAGCTTCTACAAATTTTGGATGCTCACTATGCCACTATCCATACAACTAGACGAATTTGCAAAACAACTCCTGAGATCGTATTTCTCATTAAGGTGGCTCCGCAAGTATCTTGTTTGGTTCCACTGTCGTTAGATGTATCTGACTGCAGTCCTCCAAAGAGGAACAAAATATTGAACCCAAAGATTTGGTAGAAATATTTTTATATTTAGATGGACAGATTCCGTCACTACCGCAAACGAATCGTTCATCGTTCGGTCCCTACTATGACCCGGTCGTCAAATATGAAATTCATCTAGATATATTTTTTTAATTCTTCCATGTATTATACTTTAATATCTCAAACTTAAAAACCAGTATTTCATATTGATTTATTCAAAACAAGCTAACTTATTTATATAAAACTGCATATGTGTATATAATAAGTATATCAGTACTTCTAAAAAAATGGTAATAGTAGATATGATATGTCCGACTTTCTTGATTTTTCTTTTGTTGTGCTGTCGCTGTCTTCGTGAAGCTGACGACGATGCGTTTTTAGAACGATACTTCTAGTGATGACGTTGGATCTTACAGGTCTGCACAGGTATCTTTTATCATGTTGTTTCTTGAAATTTGGACTGCACTTTTTACTTTTCTGATTATTTTGGTGTCTTGAACCTTGACCATGGTTTCTTTTATTAATGTTAACCGTTGGTGAATTTTTGGAGGAGACAAATTTGCCACCATCGGCAGAAAGTGGGTGTGACTGGTGCTGATGCCATTGTTTTGGAGTGTCAGTGGATTTTGTGTTGGTCTTGGATTGGTGACTAGTCAAGCAGTTTTCCCAATTTTTGCAAGTTGCTGATCTTTTCTTGTCATCATGCTTTTGACCGTTATCCGTTTGTTTCTTTTTTCTTCTTTTATTACGTTACCCGACAAGATCCACCGAAATTCTGTGATTTCACTCACGAAACCATCGTTTGTTTTTTCGATACCGTTGAGTATTATGTTGCGGTATTCTCCCGCGCCTAGTTAGTAATACATCAACTGAGCCCTTTTTTTTCGAAGACTGTCTCCCTGATGATGTGATTCTGCCACACCTGAAGATCTGTTTCGATGTCTTCTTTCGGTAGAGATTGCATTATTTTTATTTTTGAACATTTTTGTTGTAGTAAAATTTGTAAAATCACTTGAAAATCGTTCAGCACACTCAACTGTTATTCTGGAGTTCTGATTTGTTCTGTATTCCCCCACAACGGCGCGACGTCCCGACGTCAGGCGATAAATTTGTCTGGCCGACTATGTATTATGTAATCTCAACCTCAGTGGCGTTTGATGCAATTGAAGGTTTTTTTATTTTAACATCTAGGAGAACTCATATAACTGAAGAAAATTTCGAAAAAGGAGTAACTATTATTAAGAATTCCCGAAGTTGTAGGCCACTCTGCAATAGCGGTTGCGATCGGACAGCAATGAGTATCACTTCCGCGATACCGAAGCCTGGTAATAATGTATGATGTCTTCTTTTGCATCTATAGCATGATGCTGTGCCGAAGCATTGTTTGCTTGGGCCATGGTATAGGCTGTTTGTACACAGATATTCATGAATCTTCATCGGTCTTCTGGCGATTTGGCTTGGAATTCATTTATAGATTAAGTGAGAATCTCGGCAGTATTTTCATGATTTAAAGTTGGAAATTGTTTCCATTTTGTCAACCTGGGCGTTTTCTTTCCCGTTTGCCGTAATTATTTCGAGAGATAGAAATCTTGTCTGTAGAAAATCCATCATTTTCTCGAATTCTTGCAGATTGTTCGGGTGGTTACGTGACTGTTCGTAGAGCCTATTAGTCCCATGTTTCGGTGTGAATGTCTAAATTGTTTAGTTAATGCTTCTAGACATTCTTTTGTTGTGTCATGTAATTCCTTCTGCTTCTGTGCGGATTCTTCTTGCATTCTTGGCTGAACCAAAATTCTGTCTAATACTTAATAACGGCAAGACTTGTCTTGCTAAATTTTTTAGCCTCCAGATTCCATGCTGTTTCCTAATTGTTTTCAGTTGAGAGATGCTGGATCATTCTGCTGGACTCATGTCTGATGTACGTCTTCAGATACTGTATTTTTTCAATTTTGGAGAGCAACATGTTGTGGATGACTTTCGTGAATAAATCATGGAAAGCATTTTCCAGTAAAAATTGGGAGTTTGATTTGGAGTCGTTGTATATTCGGATTCTCATGTTGATGGGCGGACGGTGCCTGGATTTTTTATTTTAATTTTTCAACCACAGCCTCGTACTTCTCTTCAGCTTTCTCGTACATCTCGTCGGCAAAATATTTTTCTTTGAAATCACTTGCATGAACATAAATTTCTTCATACAGTTCTACGATGCTTCTCCACTGACGCTGGATTTTTTCGGATAGAAGTTCATACCTGTCTCTGCTGTAGTCTTGGGCCAAATCGCTCTTTATTTTGGCCATTTCGGTGGAGATTTTTTGCAGTCTGAACAATTAACGTCGGATGCGGGCTTCTTGGTCCTGGTTCGAGGTATTTCTTTCCATCTTCATGCAACGGTTCTAATTGATCGAAATTACTGCAAAATACTTGTGGACTGTTCTAACTGTCTTCAGTTCTTCATGATTTCGTTCAACTTCGTTCCAATACGCTTGGAGTTGTTCCCACTTTTTGGATCCCCAGTTTTGATTTCTTCTTTTTGCTTCTTCGGTTAGCAGAGCATACATTTTCTTCCCCAAATCTTCTTTCTCTTTGGCTTCCTTGTTCAATTCTTTCATGACGGATTTGGTTAGCATCTTGCACCCTTATTTCTGTGAGAGCGTGCTGGGTATAAGGAACACCACCGATCGAAAATTGTCTCGGAAGTGGTGCTTGTGTAAGAACTGCATTCTCACAGCACGAAATTGTAGACTGGAAAATGGTACGGGATTAGGGGAGGAACACCACCGAACCGCAACCTCACGGTCTGAAAATTGTGGACTCGGAAATGGCGTTCTAGTAAAAAAGGAGTGGTGCCACTGGACTGCAGTCTCACAATCCGAGTTTGTAGACTTAAGGGTGGCACTGAGTGAAGAAATAGACACCACCGAACCGACTTGGAAATTGTGTATACGTTAAAGAAGATGCCACTGGACTGTGGTCTCACAGTCCTAGATTTTAGACTTGGAAGGTGGTTCAGTAATGGCTCAAAGAACCATGAACAATTCTGGGGTAGAATTGTGGGAGTGGCAAAAAACCAATAAAGCTTAATACTGATTTATTCAAAAATAAAAAATAACCTAACTTATTTAAACAAAAAAAACTACATATGTACAATATATCAGTGGTTCTAAACTAATGGTAATATTAGATATGAAAATATAATTCCTCCCAGTTTCTTGTGTTTTCTTTTGTTTTACTACCACTGTCTTCGTAAAGCTGACGACGCGTATTGAAATGATTGTTTTAATAATAATAATTTTGTTTTACTGTCTGAAAAGGGTATATATAAGCCCCTTACCTAAACAATACTGGGGGCTGCTAAAACTTCGTATTATTTGCCGATTTTGATGACTTTCAGCTGTCTCCTCTGTCAACACTATCGAACTGAGTGAGCTGATTTTTTTTCAGGCAATTAGTACTCACACACTAGAAAATGTAAAAACTTTTAAGTCGCCGGACCAACATTTTGTTAAAGAAAAAAATGCTTGAATTTTGTAAACTTTCAAAAAACCACGAATTTGAAACTTTCAGTCTCCACGTTCATCTTTTCACACCAGTAAGTCCGACTCTCTAAGAGATTGTTTTAATGAAATTATTAAAAATAATTGACTATTCTCTTACAATATAATTTTCTTTCAGTTCCAATTAGTGCTGCTACTGACAACACCTCTAGTACTAGTTATGTACAGTGTTAAGCTTAAATTGGTAGCAGTAGTAGTAGCTGAAAGTGTCTGTCTTGGTTTTTTTGGTTTCAAAAACAGATGCTTAAGATGTGGGAACGTATTTATCGGAAAAATTTATGAATTTAATTACGATCAAGAGTGAGGCGAAAATAGCTAAACAGGACTTACTGGCATGAAAAGATGAACGTAGGGACTATATTTTCGGAAAGTTTCAAAATTGTATTTTTTTTTCTCAACAATGATTTCAGGGCATAAAGTAGGATATTTTTTAAAGTTTACATATTTCAAGCAATTTTTTTCTCCAAGGAAATGATAGTCCAGGAACTTAAAACTTCCGTCACATTTTGTATTGTACGAGTACTAAATGCCTGAAAAAATTAATTCCCTCAAATCAAAATCAGTAGTGTTTATTATAATTATAACGAAGTTTCAGTAGCACACCATGCATTAATGACTTGTTCAGATAAGGTACCTACTTTGAAAGCATACTTCTTAGGCAGTAAATGAAATTACAGTCATTTCAATACGTGTTACAAAAAAAAGTTATAGCCTATAAGAGCAGATTGGAAATGAAACATCCAAAAAAGTAAATGACGACGGTTTTTCACATTTGTTACCTAAAAGATCATCCTCAATTTTTTTCATCAATATCAAAAATCATTCTGCGCACTTTTTTATTAAAATTTAGTGTCTTCATGTGGAACGACCCTACGTACTAAACGAAACTACTACGAAATGTTATCAGATATTTGGAAAAGAACTAATGTGTAACAAATTATTAATATAAAGTTCATGAAGAAGAAAATAAATGGTAAAGCATTGGTCGAATTGGATCATAATAAGTACAGAAATATTATTTATTAAAATGAAATACATAGCTATGATAACTAATAATTTGTTGGAAATTTCTAAGAATACTTTTATTGCATTTTGACTTGATGCACTAATTTGAATGAAATTGTCCAAAGGCCTTCGTGGAATGACTGATTACCTGATTTTTTTATGGATTCCTATAATGTGTTCCACTCGGGCTAATTAATACATTATTGGAATGCATTCGAAAAAATTTCTGGAAACATTCATTGCACTTGGGAATGCACTTGAGAATTTTATTTTTTCTGGTGTTCCCAGATAGAAACGAGAAACCTATTTTTTCGTACTCGAGGGGTCATGGAACGTCCAGAAAACATAAAAGTAGCAGTCGTCAGATGGACTCGATTACAATACTTCCTTAACTTACGCTCGGGAAGTAAAAGATTATAAAAAACCAATTAAATAACTGGAAAGATATTTCGTCATTTAAACGGACACAAACGTTGATTTTTAGTCATTTTGTTCCAAGAGTTCTTCTTGTGCAAGTTTTAAATAGTCAATACTCGTGCGTCTATTCGATTGGATCAGGTTAATTTACAAAGATACTACTTCCCTTCTAAAATCTGCCCGCAACAAATTTATTAAATACAGATTTATTTTTGTCAAAAAAAATATCTACTCTATGGTTTAAAATACTATCTCAAAAAAATGTCTGTACAGGAAATTTTGGTCCTTGTGCATTTTAGTCCTAGCTAAGTACTAGGACTAGAATGGAATTATGAAAACCCGCAGAGAGGAGGTGCAGAAGTCTAATGCCTCGCTGCTGCGTGTTGAATTCCGACAATACTTTTGCGTGCGATATTACATGTAATTGACTAGTTTACTGTACTGCTTTCAAACAGCAAAGTGACTACTTCTCTACCTGTAATCACTTCGCTAAAAATCACAAAGAGCCTCGTACTTTTTAGCGTAACGTCATTTATATGTTTCCGGCACCAAATTTTCCATAACAATTATTGTTATTAGTACCTAACAAACGAATGAAGTTCAGTTTTTGCTTTTAAAATGTTTTGTTCTGTCATGACAACTATAGGAATCGTGAACAGATGATACGATCCAAACGCATAAGATTCGGTTGAAATTATTTGGGTAATGTTGTTATTTACTATTAATTCTTTGTTACACTTTATTACTACTTATGAAAAAAAAAAGTTCGCCGTGGATGAGTGAGCATTTCGTTGACACATCGGAATTCGCGTTTGATAAAAATTTCAGGACAAACCAAGCCGTAGTTTTTAAATGCAACCCTTGTTTCTCCTTAATAGGCAAAATTCACGTAGTGGGAGTCACCTTAATAGAACGTCCTTGTTTCTAACACAATTGATAACCTTAAATAGGGGACAACTCAAATCGGCACAAAGAATATCGATCTTTCCCAAGAAACTTTAGCTTACTGATGATCTTGACTACGAGCCATGTTACTGGATCTTGATGGCTTGTTGCGGTCTAAAAAATATAAAAATTTACACTGTCTACATTCCGTACACCTCTAAAGTTCTAATCTGCAGGAACTCAAATTAATTTCTTTTTTGTAAAAAAAATTTAGATAAAGCTGCCCTATCATTACATTAGTATTAAAAGAACGAACATTTTAAAGATTCTTATTCCATTGTGACATTACATCAATCAATCAAAGTAAACATAAATGAACACTAATTTTTAAACAATACTGTTCTTGTTCTCGAAACAAAGACTCAAAATTGTCCCTCTGGTGCTTTATTCTACCAACTTCGCTACATTAATACTTTGTTACAAATTACCTGATAATTAAATCAAAATATAAAAACTAACAGAAGCTTGAGCTACATGTGCGCAAGGTAAATTGCATTTCTTACGTATTTTTCAAAACAATAAGAATCTAAACGAAGTACCTAACACTTTGCCCAACAGAGCAGTAATAAACACTGACAAATTTCTTACATAAAAGGATGCTACCCTCTAAAAGTGTCTCTTCCAATAAAAACCGAAAAATTCCTTGAACTCTGCGATCAAGTTTAAGTCGCAATACATATTTCCTGAATACCAACCTGTTTTATGACATCCACAACTGTGGCAAATTGTGATGTCGACATTACTTCCCTTCAACCAAAAAAAAACCAAACCAGTAATCGCGTTATTGATTCTAATTCCGGGTGCCTGTACGAACTGACTACGTCAATACAATAATGAAGTCATTTCCTTTTGTATAATATAAACATCAATCAAAACTAAAAATCAGGCAGGTGCACATAATGTGTCTAACAATTAAAGTTTTGTTTTAGTAGCTTGCTAGTTGGATACTATATTTTAAGTCTTGTGTTCATTATTGACAATTAGGTGGCAGTTGTTTATTTCACTCCCTCGAAATCAAATCATACTGCATAACATTGTTAATAAATTAATTATAAGTAAAATAAATCAAATGTAATGCGTGATCTAATTGATGAACTGATTGAAATAGGTAATTTTTTATCTGATATTCTGCCTTTTGGTGCTTAATTAATTACATCACGCATCCTTTAAATTAAACGTATTAAAACAATTTTATAAAAAAATATAAATTAATAGAATTAAGCATTAAATAAAAACTTAATGGTGACATATCCTATATTAACTGTAGATTTTTTTATTAATGTTGAAATAGGGTTTATATTACTTTGTTAAGTCTGACAAACGAGCCAACCGGATTTTTCCTAAAAATCTGTTCAAATCTAAACAAACGTTATTATAATGTGCCATAAATAATTGTTGACCTTGTAAATTTAAATCAAAATAATGTAATTTTATGTGTAAATAATAACATTGAATATTGCAATCTTGATTTTGTCTTGATACATTTATTTAAATAAAAAGCATTAAAATACTGACAATTCTGTTATTTCCTGGTATGAGTAGGAAAGTGGGGTTGAAAAAAAAAACAAAAGAAATACCAATAAACTCTTTATTCACTCAGTGATGTTTCTGTCATGTGAATCATTCATAAATATAATTTTCATAAAATGTAAATAAAGTACCATAATATAAAATATTATAACGAAATGTTAAGGCCATAAAACACACCTTTCTTTTTCACCTAACAGCGACAGAAAGTTGTCAACGTGTCTATCAAAAGGGTTACTCTCACACATTCATCAGTTAACCTCCACCATTTTGTTTGTTTGTATAAAAAGCTGCGTCATGTCAACTGTTGACACCGTCGCAATAGTATAAAATTATTTAGCTTTGTAGAAAACGGTGCCAACAGTTTTCATTTGATTTTTAATAAAAATGGCTTAAATTTAATTCTCCCCATTTGATTTAATAAGTTATGACTTAACACGATTGTTCATTAGTGTACAAAAAGAGCTAAGCAGTGACAAATACTGTTTCGACAATATAAAAAAATCACGATTTCCATGTTTAAATACTTTAAAATTTTCACGCAACATCAAAGTTCATTTATTATTGTTTCATTCATTGTAAATATTTCAAAATTAACTTTGATATTAACACTTACATAATTAACGATATGAACATACACACTATATTAAAAATAAACAAGTACAGTATTCCGTAAGTGTAAAAATTTTGAAACAATAGTGGTCCCAATAAAATCTCTAAAACTAGTAAGTACACGAATTTTGGACGAATTAAGTAAAATTATTTAAACAAGCAAGCTACAAAATTTGGTACTTAGAAATTATGTAGTACTAAATAAAAAGTTCAGGCACATCGATCTCAATAGGTCAAAGAATTTTTTAAAAAAATTACGAAATACTGGACATGTTGATATGGCAATTATTATTTTCACCGATTATGCGTCTCCGTTTAACTGACCATCGGAATCCAGTTCTTCGGCCAATGCTAGCGGGGCTCGGAGAATATCACTAACTTGTATTTTTTTAATCTGCAAAATAAATTAACACACTCAACAAAACATACAGGGTGTCTCAGAAATAAGTACATTAATTTTAACCAGTAACAGAACTCGTGAAACGGAACAACTTTTTTATGTAGCATTTTTTCGAAAACTCAAGTCGAATTTCGAATTTTCCCACCCATATATTCACGAGCCGTCTATGTTCACCTTAAATAATAACTCAAATAATAACAACACTACAACAATGAAGAAGGTACCCTAGCAACCGTTTTGACACTGACAATCATTTTTATGTCAATGTTTTTATTAAACGTTGTCTCTTTAAAGTTTGTTTGGCATAGATTTCTAATTTATAGACGAAATGTGTTGAAATGGCTTTGTTTTCAAATCTGGAATGCACCGATATCGTTTTAACGTACGGTGAATCTCGGGGAAACGGCACTCGCGCCCAACGAATTTTTTCAGAAAACCTCCCAAATCGTCGTCTGCCAAATGTGCGCAGTTTTAAGAACGTTACAGCATTTTCGAGAGTACGGATCTTGTAAACCTGCACCTCAGGATCGGGGTAAGTTACGCAGTAATAGAATTGCTAATATTGAAGAGGCTGTTTTGAAGAGTGTCGAAGCTCGACCGGGCACTAGCACGTATCACTCTCTAGTGTGATGTATCGGAGAGTAGTATTTGGAAGATACTCAGAGAACAAATGTACCCCTTTCAGGACCAGAAAGTTCAGTTACTGAAACTAACAGACTTACCACGTAGGCAAAACTTTTGTAAGTGGGTTAATAGAAAAATAAACGAACAAGCAAATTTTGTATCTCTTATACCATCAACTGATGAGGTCGGTTACACGAGGGAAGGTGTTCAACACCCACATTTGGGCCGATGAAATTCCGTACGCCATTAGGGAGCAGTATTTTCAATTTCTCTCTAAATGTTTGTCACATTGACACGATTAGGAAAATACGTATCCTAGTAACTGTTTTTGACCATACATTATTAATTATAATAACTATTAGTGTCCATGGGTGACTAAGGATCCATGGGCGGGTAACCTTAATTGGGATATAACTTTAACAATTTTTAACTTGATAATTAAAAAGTTCTTGACAAAACTCTACTAAAAAAAGTTGTTGAGTTCAATGAGCTCTATAACTGATTAAAATTAATGTACTTATTTCTGAGACACCCTGTATAATACAGACATAGCTAATAACTGTCAATGGTAGCTTCAAGTGTGGCTGCTTCTACAAAGAAATGTAATTTACAAATATATCTTCAGTTATTATTATTATTTTTCATTAATATTATACCAATACCAAGTGTTTAATAATTTGATCACATCATATCGACATTAAAAACAATAAAGACGAATATTTTATAGCATTAAATGTTATCATTATGACGTATAACTCCTCAATAACAGATTCAGTGTAAGATAATTTTAAAACATAAAAAGTTAATTATTACAGTACCTTTAATAAACAATTTTTTTATTTTATCAAATATTTCAAATCAGTTTAGACACGATGTTACTTTTATAATTATATTTTAGTCAACTTTTTTAAATATTTTTTCATGTACATATTTCATTTGACCTTAAATCTTTACATCATTAGAAACTTCTAAAATTATATTGTATACAGAAACCATAAAATATGTTGTAAAAATTCAAATATGCGTATGCGCCTCGTTTATGTTCCCGTGAACTATCAATAGCAGCGTCGCAAGACTTTGTTAATTTCGTGAAATCTACTAATATTTTCGTAATTTATCACGTTATTACGTTATTTCAAATTTAAAAAATTTATCAAAAATCAGAAAAAGAAATACTGAACTTGAAGAAACCGTGGTGAAAAAACCTCTGAACCATATTACTGAAATTATTGAAATTCAAAGTTGAAAAATTCACTTCGTAATTCTGATCTTTTAATGTGAATTTAATGAAGTCTAAAATTCCCATAAAATTGTCAAAAATGACCGTCAACAGTAAAAAGCAAAAGTAAAATTTTTAATAAAATATTAATAACTAATTATTTAACCATCATTAGCCATGGAGTTCATATCAAATAAATCATAATCACGAAGTTAATTCTTCAAGTTTGAAGCCTTCTTAATGACGAACCATGGAGTTTATCTGTCTTTTTTTTTATTATCCTGTATATGGATCATTGTTGTACTAAGTACTAAATTAGGAGTTAAAGTTAGGGACCAAAGTTGTACGTTCCCTATACAGTTGTGCTCAACAAAAAAAGGGAAATGTCAAAAAAATTAATTTTAGAAGTTAGAAAATTGAACGGTTGTCTTTGAAATGTCAATTTTGCGAATTAATAGCTTATCTGTTACGCTCAAATTAAGTTTGACAAAAATGTGTTAACCTAATAGTTGTCTAATCGACAAATAAATGACAACGTCAATTTACATAATGAAAAAATTTAATTCTCATTTTAATTAAACACAACGGTAAAATTATTTTTGACTTTACAGAGTGTTTTCTTTTTGAGGCATAGCACACAACCTAGTTGCATTAAAGAGAACACCCTATATATTTTTATATATTTTCATTAGCCTCTTCCTAAGCCTTATAATAACAATAGTTCATTTTTGACATTCCTATGCGAGGTTGCCACGTTATTTCAATTTTCTGAAATTTTTTGGCAATCCAAAGGCCAACAAAAAAAATCGCATTGATGTTATTTTTAAGATCTGAGTTACGCCCTTTATTGCGATATCAATTAAATCAAATTTTAATAGACAGTGTTTATAAAAAAAAATTGTAAAACTTACCAATTCTCAAATATAGACATTTCAGTTTTTTCAAATAACACACCCTGTATTTTATTACTGCATCTTACTCTATTTTTTGTTCCTTCTTTCAATACGTCGGCGTGTCTATTAAGACTAAAAAATCACAATAAATTTAAATATAGAACACACTTAACAAAAAAGGAAGTGAACAAGAAACAAAAGAAGAAGAAATTTTTATTTGAACAATAGAAAACGTAATATTTTGAAACAACTAGATTCAGATTTTTACATTGCGAAAATACACCGCATTCACCAAAATGTTCTCTTCTTCCTGGTATTCCAAAATATTATTTATTACTAATGAACGACCAAAAAATTTCACTGGTGTTTTTATTTACCTGCACATACTTACTCTTACCATCATTCAAAGTCCACATGGATGATTAGATATCAGAAATATTTATTAATGCGTTATGATCACACAAAATAATCACAAAAATCAGTCCCAAATAAAACTTTCTCATTGTAATGCGAATTAACCAAACACTTGAAGCTACCAGTTCAAAAAAACTTCATTTAATTATTTCTGGATAGAACCAATCAAGACAAATGCTTGTTTTTGATAAAAAAATAAATTTAACTAAATCATTTTGTACGAAATATAGAATCGTCTCTTCCAAGCTATTAATACTAGTATTTTATTTTTCTGTTTTAACTTACAACTTTGTAGTTAAATTACATCTGTAAACAATACGCAGTTTTTATTAAACAGTTGAAACAACAACAGTATTATACAGTACATGTCGGTAGTATATTGTTTGCAAAAAAATATTTTACAATAAAATCGGAGCAGCAGGTTCTATATACTTTTTAAAACAATTTTAATCCATCAATCTTTTGATCGGTTCATTTCCAAAAGCATTCGTATGTAATTAGTATGTTACTCTGAAAGAAACAGTACAATCAACTGAAAAGTTAGAAATATTAGTGTGTTATAAAGGGGTGTTTTCAATGACACGTGACTACATTGCTCGATTATAAAAAAAAGTGTGTAATAGAGCTAACCTCTAACGTCGGTGCAGGTCCGTCCGTGTCACTCTCTATGACTACAAAAGCAACAAAAAGAACACATTTAAAGCGGGTAACAAATAATAAAAAGCTATGTATAAACAACTGCATATTTTACAAACTTGGCAAAAAAGATTGGAACTTTTTAGAATACAAAAAAACAAAAAACAAAAAGCATCTACTCACTATTTTCTTGGGCACTAGTGGCCGTTGACGTCGTCGTCGTGGTAGTTGTACTGGAAGACGTGACAGTACCGTCTTGGCTATTACTTATGACCGTCGTAACTGTTTTTGTTACGCACATACCGGAAATTCGCCTGTTAAGATCCTCACCTGAGCCAAGGTAATCCTTGACACTGTCTATGGTGATGTCACCCACACTACTGGACACCGTCACGTTGTGCAGTGTCTCTTCGTCATTCTCTCTCACTTCTTCTGTCTGCAAAGTAAGACCGATACTGTTACAAAAACGCAACGACAAAAGGCAACGTACAGGTTAGTAAAACAAGTAAAAGTGATTTCAGAACAGGACTATCTATGAGGGTTATGACACATGAAACGAAACACGTGATCACCTATGAAAGACACAATTTGACAGTATCTGTGGCAAAATACATGCAGTTACCTTGTTTTAAATTTGGCTAATGATTAATAATCAATATAAGCTCAGCGGAAGAATATCTATAACACGTCCAGTTTGTTAACCCATCATTGATTCTTTTGTTTTCTATTTATTACCTCTTTACTTTGTCACCTTGTTACCCTCCTCGGTGGTTGCTGCCAAGAATCTGACTTGAGTTATACACTTGACCAACAGTAACATACACAATAAATTTTGTTTTTAAATTACAAATGTTTGTGTTTTATGCATCGTGAGTAACACCAGCTTGTTAAATAAAATGTTTTCACTTACAATTTGCATTAAATACAACAATTGCTAAAAAACTTTGTCTCTTAAATATAAAACTTCAAAAACAAAAACCTTTGACATAAGAAATTCTTTTTTTATGTGATATAATTATATGTACATGAAGAGCTTACTTATAAAATGAGTTGTATAACCGTTGATCTGTTTTCGTAAATATAGCTATGATGTTATATAATTACTTTGTGTACTTTATACTGATTGTTCGTTCTTTTTGGTATATATTATGAAGCTATTTATGTATAGACAGTTTTATTTTTCACAATAATTTTCAGAGTTCGTATAAAAAACGTAAAATATGTAAGCTAAGCCCAAACATAAAACAGAACAAAAATTGTTTTTAAGGCAAGTCGATGGATAAAGTCGTCCAGTAGAGCTAAATTGTTCCGGTGTTAATTACTGTATACATAGGCTCAGAAGGAAGAAAACTGTATGCACACAATTTTGTATATGTACTAATAAAATTTTATAGCCCCAACTGAGTCAATAATGCGAGTGTCACAGTTGCGAAATTTTATTATTATACAAAAATCATATGCTAGTTTTGAACTCTAATAAATTAAAATGGCTGCAGGAAAATTTAATCAAACTCTATCATCTAAACGGCTTTGCCAATCGAATTGCTATGAACCAAACGTGATTGTTATTTCACGAAAAATGAAAAACCATTTTTAAATACATATTTATAATTTTTTATGTAATACATATATGGAAGTCCAATTTATCTATAGTAATACCAGACAATTGAAACGTCACATCACTAATCAGGTAATAAGTCACTATACCAATAAGTGAAAATATTTATATAAAATTTATTAAACAATTGTAGACGTAAATACAAAAACGATATAAATCAATAATATTTAAAAACAGAGAATATAAAAATCTAATACAGAGTTATAGCTGCTAAGTTTCCTTGTTTTGCTAATTTATAATCTAGACATGCACTACCTTATAAAATAGACTGCACTACATTGCACAAGGCGACCCAGAACCACATTCACTCATCTTACCTTGTCGGCATCGACAGTTCCTTCGGCATTTCCGTTGACCAAAACTTCGCTTTGGTTTTCTTGTCGTTCGCCTTCCGATCCAGCGTCTGATGTTGCATCTTCGTTTTCGCCTACTGGTTGTGGAAGATAACATCTCGCTGTCGTCGCCGACGTTGCCGACAAGGATAGCCTCTGCAATTCCGAGGAGGAATGCAGATATAACGCTTCGGCACTTTTCGTGAACACTAGAGAAGATATACCACTGAAAGAAAAAAAAAAACAATAATGAAAACAGAAAAACTATAAAAACAACTTACTTAATGTCTTCTCGTTTAATTGCCGCAGCATTCAATTGTCTTTTCAGATCGGGTATACTGAAGACCAAACAGTCTCCAATATTAGTCAGGCACAAAAGGTCGATTTCGGAATGTGTAGCATCCGTGTCTGGATTCTTACAGGTAAACGTAGCGAAAGCCATCCTTCTGACTCTGGCGCCGTCTTGAGCCGTTAACTTAAATTTACAAAATGCTTTAACCGCTGGCAAAGTGAAAATTTTGAACTGCTCTTCGGAAGCTATGATCACTCTGTGCGGTTGGGTGGTGTCTGGAAGAGGCGCAACGCCTTTTTCTACTTCTAAGGGTTCGGGGAGTGGCCTGTTGGAACCGTCCAATACTGCTATAGCTATCACTGGCGCCCTATGCTTCAACTGGATCTCCTTGGCAATGTGGCAGGTAACGTCGTCCGTTTCTCTTTTCGACGCCGACGGTACCGTTATCGTGAAGGTGTAAACGGTGCCGTTGTTTGTACCGGCCCATAACGTCGGGTTCGTGTTTTGGGCTACAATTTAATTCGTGAACAAACTGACGAAATACGCTGCGTTGTGGCGCGTTACTTTGAAATATGTGAGAGGTACAAACACCAATGCTTGGACGTGACACTAAAAAAATCGTCGGAAGATCTCCAAAGAATGTTGTTGTTTTTTTTTTTTAACAAAAATAGTTTGTACTATTTTTTTAAGTAAGGTTTTCCATACCGGATTTACACGACCATTAAAAATTTTCACTAGATCTGTACAATTAAAAAAATAAAAACATCTTGCGATAAACAGTGACGTAAAAAACTGTTAACATTGTATCAATTTTTGTAGCCTGCAAAGAATCAAGTGAACATGAAGCTGGTCAAAAATAAAAATGTAGTGTGGTAACATTTACATATTGACAGTAATAATACTTTCTCTTCCATATAATTAAAGTATGTAATAATCTGTACGATGAATAATAATCTAGCAATTTATTAGTAACACGTCCTCTTTCGTCAGACACAAAAAGAATTTCTGTTTTACTTCCTAAGCGATGACTCAGTCTAACTATTGCAATAGGGTTATTTATATTTATGAATGTGTTAGTGTCAGATCTTTACAGCTTTTACTTCCAAATCGACGTCGAAGCAAAAAAAATTAAGTAGCAGAAATTGAAGATGAAATGAAAGGTATGAAAAAGAATTTGGATGTTATGCAAAATATTGGAAGAAAAAGTAGAAAGTCGAGAAGATAGTACCAGTAATTTGGAGGATACGCTGGCTGGTAAGAATAAGACCCCCAGAGAAATGAAAATGGGAAGTTTCACCAGAGGCTGTAATCCAACGGGAAAAATTAATGGGAGTCCGCGGCAACCACGATCGATACTAGCCCTGAAGTATCAATTTTACGTACAGAACTTTTGAGAGCTAAAGATCTAAGGACTAAACTCGAAGAAATCAGATTGAAGACCGTGACTGGACAGTCCAATCATGGGCGAAGCAGAGGTAGAAATCTACATTGAAGATGACTGACGACCTCTCAAAAATCACGTCTCTTCCTAGAAAATGACAACAAACAGATCCATATATTTCCTTTTGTCCCATCTCGCTATTTCCCGTTCTCTCTCCATGTGGCATCGAACCATCGGGTTTAGTTTTCTGGTACCACATGTCCATCCTTTCCAAGGAAGTCGTTAGAAAGTAAATTGCGACTCGAGCGTGCCTAGCTCTTTTTGTTGAATTTCAAGTAAACGGCAGTTTTATAACGGCCATGGTAATAAAAAAGTAATAACAGCTTAGTTTTAGTTAAATTTTGTCAGTTTTCTGCTGGGGATTTTGTAGTGCTCAACTCGTTTCTTCTCGAAGCGTAATCTAAAATTTAATTTTCTTTTTTGTTCAGAGTATTCTAATGTCCATTTTTGTCCAGCGTTTCAATTTCCATTTTCTAAATTTGTAGTGTAGGTAACCGAAGAAAAGTGTTGCTGTCCCGGTGGGAATCGAACTGAACATCTTTCACTTGCCGGGCGGGTGCCTTGACCATTAGACTACAGAACGGCTTATCTTTCTTAGCTTACCAATCTGTTATTGTGCCGCCACAGTAGATATCACCGTGAGCAGTGATCCATTTGTTCATCTTGTTTTTTTATGTAATTTTAAATAATTAGTTGAACTTTCTTTTTTTTCGTGGACTTTGCGGCCAACCCTTTCGAGATTGATAAACATGATAGTGATTTAAGACTGTGGTACTACTGAATGACTCCGTGCCCTGGAGCAGTGAAAAGGGAAGTTTCGAAAGGTGAGAAGATTCCCATTTTTCTGTAATATGCCCTTTGGATTTCTTTGGTAGAAGATCAGATAAATTCACGCTACCTATTTAATTTAGTTAATTTTTTTTTTAAACCAAGTGTTATTTCTGTGAAAATAGGGACTATTTAGTGACCATAGTGGGTACATCTGAAAATAATTTACCTATATTTTTTTACTAAAATTTGAAAATACATTCCTTATAATACAACAACAAAAAAAATGCCCCAAAAAACGGAAATTTAAAATTCAAAAAACAAAAAAATAACTTCATAAAAAGCAACAGTCAAACATAAGCCCACCACAAATTAAAACCTATCCTGAATTTAAATTAGGCATTATCAGTCTTCCTATTCTTTACCAAGTCATCAAGAGAAGATGCTTTTCTTTTTAAAATGTTAGCTTGTAATACAAAAGCTTTTTTGTCTATATTTTGCGTTACAGTATGTTCCTCTTTTTTAGTGTGTCTTGTTTCTTTTAATCTTGACTGTAATTCTTTTAAATGTTTAAATCTTCAGCTTGTCTGTTCGTCTTTTCTCTTACATTACGAATTTGTGTGAGAACGACAGCGTCCTTCCGGAGTTTTTGAGACTCCAAATATGGGTTATACATGCGATATGCTGTTCTTGCCACCGATAAAATATCTGCCTGACAAAATAAGCTCAGGAATATTATCATAAAATAAACGTAGAGCATCCTCAATATTTATAAGACAATTTAATGTTTTTAATGACATCTTAGGTATTTCTTCCCTTAAAACTAATTTTGATTGAGAAAAAAAGATCTCTCTGTATTTATGCTGCCACGCGACAGCATGTTGCATCGTTTTAACTAAGTTTTTACTTCTCTAACATAAGCGAAGGAAGTATTGTAATCGAGTCCGTCGGCCGACTCTCTACTTTTACGTTTTCTCGACCTTTCCGTCTGTCTGTCTGTCTGCCGTCTGTCCGGATTTTTATACTTAAATTCCCAGTCATTATTTTTCAGGTTTGCTACATTTTGCCAAAATGTCTCCATACTGATGTCACCAATGTTGTAGTCTACTTCGTTGCTATTTTTTAAGGTTCTGAATTCATCTAACATTTCATCTTCATCTATTTCATACGGCAGCAGCGACAGTGATCCTTTGATACTAACCGTGACTTTTGGCTACAGAAAATTCTAAAATTGATATCACTGTTTGCTTTTTAGTTTTTTTTTTCGTGCTTTCAACTTTCAACAAATAAGAATTATTCTTGTATTCAAGTAATGCCACCAACCTCATGCTAACCACTGTAAGATCAGTATCTGTTAAAAATCGACCAATAAACGGACAAACGATTTAAGTGTGATAAATTTGGTCTCACTGTGCACAAACATCTTACTTTTCTACAAACTAAAATCGCGAAAAAACGGATCACGTGACATAATAATTACTTTGGTATTTTAGCATTGGTGTCTATACCGTCAGCATCACTGATTATTACCGTTTACAAGGAATGTCCTCGCGAAATACAGACATCTCACGAACGAACTCATCGAATCGTCGACCGGTCGCGCTTCTACCTGTCTCTCAATGGGTTTCGCTTCCAAGGGACTGAATTGGCCGTCGTCTGTTTTGCGTGAAGGTGGAGAATTTGGTGTGGTTGCAGTTTCCGTGTTGGCTCGACGCTGCGAACGGCCTTTTCGAAGTCGCCGGAACGACTCCCTCAAAGACTTCTTAAAAGACTTCCGTCTCGATATGGGGGTGTCGCCGGAACCGGTGAGATCTAATCGAAGACATGCGTTAGTGTACGTGAAATGAATGAAATTGAGTGATTTACCGTTCGGGTTTAAGGTACACTTCACCATAACAGGTTTGTTCTTTATATAATCGAAGAGTGCGAGTCCGTGAGCTGTACCAGCAGCTACCAGACCCCAGTCAGCTTGAAGAACACATGCCGTGACAGCCGCGGGTGGGTGAAGTTGAAGAACTGAAGAAGCTTGGAATCCTCGAGTTTGGTGAATTTCCCCTATAAAGTGGAATTTAACCGAATTAGAATTAATCACTTCTGGTCGGACGTCACAAATACATTAAGCAAAAATATACCGCGAGAATATATAAAAAATGAGTATCTACCTTGCTTAGGAGCCAACTGATTGTGCCCTTTCCAAATAAACCCATCTCTGTCGCTTACGATGTTCATCGTAGTTACTTTCACTTCCCCGTCCAGGACTTCCGTATCGAACTTCGATACCACCACATGACCGGCAGTTCCAGCAACAACCAACGTTCCCGACAATGGACACAAAACAACTTTTTTGACCGCTAATCGGGGATCATCCGAATACGGATCAAAAACACCGATTTTACGGAACGGTGGCCAATCTTCGTCGACATCTTCTGGATCCGGAACCGCCTCTTCCAACTCGTCGCCAGTGAAGAACACAGCGGTGCTAAATTTGTAGATGGGGGTTAGAGTAACTCCACCCGCGTCCCAGAAGCGTATAGTCCCATCTTCATGACCCGTCAGAAGCAACTCTCTCCTTGGAGTACTTCCTTTTGAACACAATAGTCTGCCTCCGTCAATCGGCCACGATCTATTTGAGTAGATGTTGTTTGTTTGGGCCTTGCCAGCTTCTTTGAGTTGTTCCCAAAGTTCTTCCGAGACACCTATGTAACGATATTCGTATGATACTAACTACTATTAATTTTTGGCGACGAATTTACCAGAAACATGTTGACTGCACGTGACGGCCGAAGCGTGCAGTGACACCAAGTATGGTAAATTTATCATTTTCCATTCTTTACACTGGAGATCGATTAACACGAGTTCCTCTTCGGCTAACACAACAAGAGCGTCAGGTTCACTGTTGCTTGTCCCATTTGTCACAGTATTCTCTTCGTCATCGAATTCTTCTGTTTTTGAATCAATGACTAGAAAGTCTATGACCTTTAAAAAAGAAAAGATGTTAATCAACACTGAAATTGGTTTCGTTCGTAATAACTATTAGGTGAAGAATGTAAATTTTGAAGCAATTTTAATAGCTAATCAGTGTTGAATAATACTCTTCATAGGAAATAAAATCACGTTTAATTTTATTTCTACATATTATTATTAGCCATAATTTTAACAATGTTAATGAGTTGATTATTCCAATAAACAACACAGGTCAAATATTTTCGTCATTTCGTAACAGAGACGCTGATTTGCCAAATAGTATCTTTATTTCAATGCTGGTGTACAAGTTAGAGGCAAATCGATACTTGTTACTAGGTCACAATTCTTAATTTCGCTCAATGTACTCGACAAACAACCAAAACGCTAGTAATCTAATACTTACGTTTTTAACAGGAAATGAATAAGTCTGTAATCGAGTCGCTCCGAAAATAAAATTCAGTAACATAATTCTGCGATAATTTGTTTTGCTTTCAAAAATCAAATCTAAAATTGGCTACCTTCAAGTTGTTACAACTGCATGGCAGTTTTGATATTTATTGTCCTTATTATTACTTTTTAAAAGTAAAACATATCTAGTTATCTGGAGATCATCAGGGTGTCTCCTATACGGATAATGTTCTCTACCCAAAATGGTACTACCTGTCATTACTTCAAAGTTGTTACAACACAGAAAACTGCTCTCGAAATTGTATTTTTGGTTGCGTCTTGATCAGTTTTAGGTGCGAAATTTCTCGTGAATAACGTGAATAGGATCGTTATTTTACAATTACCAACCTCAAAAAAAATATATAGAAACCACCTCGTAACTACCAGGTGATTATTTAAATCTGAACAAACCTCTTGATGTGAATTTTTTGTGCACTATACAACATTTATAGTGATCTAATATTGTAAGCAACGGTATCTGTTATAAAATTAAAAAGTAAACAAACACAGTTAAGAAATGGCATTGCTAAAATTAAACCTATCCTCCTTCTGCTGTATAGCTTCTGTTTTTTTACCGTACTGAATATAACAAATTCACGAAGTATTTATCAAACCATCGACAGTACGCCTGTGCTCCTATTTTTATCTTAAAAAAATACTCGATAGACAACAACTAATCCAAATCTAAAAACCCACGCGATTTTCCAAGTTTAGATTAACCAACCCATAAATATAATAAATGATGTTGTTAACAAGATTGAAACATACATATTTATCAAACTAATATAAAACTGTAATAGTGAGAAGTTCGTTTGCAATACATTATAGTTGTTTAGTAGTGCACAACCATGTAAGCTCCAAGCGTATTTTGCGCCGTGATATTTTAAATCAATACAGATTGTTTTCAAGAAAAATCCAAGCATGTGTATGTGCAGATGCAGTTTATTATTGCAAACCACGAAATTTATAGAAACTCTGGAAAATACTCCGATTTACTAAAAATATAAATAAACAAAAAAATTGGGCCGCGATAAATATACCAAGATCGTTTCGGTTCGTTGCTGCTGTGCCTGAAATTTAACCTCTCGAAGATTTTTACGTGAAACATAGTTTATAGATTTGTCGTCACAGGTAACCGATATAAGCATAATCCAATAAAAAATAAATGACTCATTGGTGATAGCAGAACAGTACCAATCTACAGTTAAGTCACTTTTCAACAAAACGGTCAATAAATCTAATTTCACATTGAACACGAAATTTGCAGCGTGTTCGTAAAAAATAAATTAACTAAAATGGATAGATAAAATGGTCATATGAAAACGGGTTACAATTTTAGGAACAAATTTGAAAACTTGTGTAGGGGTAGGCACATTATTATTACATCAATGTTCTTTAATAAAGCAACTCTACCTGATTAACAAATATTGAAAAAACTAAAAAAACGAAACTGACAATATTATAAAGCCTGTAGAATTTCTGGAATAAAGTTGCTTTTAGATGTTTACGCAATAAATAAAATTTAGACCACACCTTAGTGAATTTATTTTACACGAAGTTGTCGACCAAGGAAAATTAATGAAATGATATAAGAACTAAATTTGAAGATGAAGACGAAAATCATTAATAAAAAATTACGTTTGAGAGGATGGATCGGAAAAATTAAAGTAACCTTCAACTCGAGCAAATGTCATGAAAGGGAAGAAACTATAGAAAAACATAGTGAAAGATTCCCTCGTCCCTGAAGCACAACCTAACATATCCAATTTTTTAGATAAGTTAAATAACGTGATTCTGCTGATTTTTCGTTTTACGATAACCACTACAAGTTAAAATATAATGAACTGTTGACTGTCACCCACCACAATCATAAACAGTCAACACAAATGTCGACCAAATATTGTTTAAATATATGCCTCGATCAGCGATCCGATAGTAAATGAATAAATCTAGAACAGTTTAATGGAGTCTTGTTATCCTTTAACCCGTTCCCTGCCACGAACGTCATAAACAAAAAAGAAACACTGTTAAAATCGTTTTTAGTGTGAAGTGTGGTTTTTATGTTTTTTTTTTAAATAAAAAAACAGGCAATTATTTAATATCATTAACAATAACTGATTTAATATTCTGAGTTGACGTCATCAAGTATTTGCAGGGGATAAACAAAAAAATTCGATCAGCAGTTTACAACGTTTACGATAACCTTAAAATATTTGCGAGATTTCAGACCAGTCGGTTATATGGTTTGTCTGTCAAATTATGAAATGTATTACAATGTTGATTTTTTTTAAATCTATAGACATCCAAGGTAAAAAATAAGAGCGTATTAATAAACCACAAATGTTATTTTATAGAATTTACGTGGGATTTGCTGTACAAAATTTTAAGATGACGTCATGACACGGTTGGTGAGGAGGCTTAGAGAAATTTTGTTTGGCACTGTATCATACAATTTGACAACAATCAATAAAGTAGTTTCGGAGATTATATATAAATCTCCAAAAAACTGCAGACAGACGGTAGACAGAGAACAGACGCCAGACAGTCGGAAAGGCGAGACCTACTTCTCCATATTCTATGGGATCTTGAAACATCGAAAAAACGAAATTAAGATGGCTACGACTACGTGTATTTTGGCAATACGGAGAAACACGAGTTGCATTTAAAAACTACACCTTTGTTTGTCATGAAATTTTTATCAAACACACCTTGAATTTTGTAGAAAATCATATTACAACCTTGTCGGTTTCCTTACATAAGAACAGGAAAAATTAATTAATGAGTAACACAGTGCATTGAGAGTATAATGAGAGAGTATTCAACAAACTAAACCACTGTAGTGGGAATGATTACAAAATGACGAAGGTATAAGTACACAGAATCCATCACACTTATCAAGGATTGTTTATTTAAACTATGAAATTCATGAAACCCGTGTTTTATCTTTTTCCATAAGCCGCAACATTATGCGTTGTTATGTAAACGCTCGCTCAATAGGTGGCCCCACCGTTAAGAATTTTAAACGAAAATTAGTTTTGAGTGTTTCACAAATTGAGCATTTTATACGAATTATTTGCGTTTTAAACCATACACTAGTTTCATTTTTTTTCCAAAAATAAATCTCTATATAATAAATTTATTACGGGCAGATTTAAGATGGGAAGTAAGTATTTTTCTAGATCAAGCTGACCCAATAGACAATCGAATAAACTCACGAATATTGACGATCTAAAAATGACAAGACGAAACCCCGGAACGAAATGACTAAAAATTAAGGTTTGTGTCCATTTAAGTGACAAAATAAATTATTTAATCGTTTTTTATGATCTTTCACTTATCGACCGTAAGCTAAGGAAGTATTGTAATCGATCCATTGGGTAATTGGCTACTTTTATGTTTTATCGACGTTTCCTGAGCTCTAGATTACAAAAAAATAAGTTTCCCGTTTCCGTTCGTCTTTCGCCTGTTTGTGTCGAGTTTTATTAGACAAATAATCTCCGAAACTACCAAACCGATTGTTGTCAAATTTTATATGTATGTTAAGAATATCGTGTAGATGGTAAAACGCTAACCAAAATTTGGCCAATCACCCCATCGACTCTAGTTTAAAAGCAAGGGAAGTTCTGCCGAAATAATCTTCAACCAATTTTTTTCAGCGTTTATTTTTTTCTTTGTGAACTTCATATTAATAATAATTATTACACATTAGTTCTTTTCTAAATATCTAACAATATTTTGCAATCGCCTCGACAAACACTGTATATATCATCATAACAGAACAGAAACCAGTCCTTGGTACTGGTGCTGGCCTCCAATAGTAACTACAAATGAAAAATATATTTTTATTTTATTTTTTTTGCAGAACAATTTGCAGTAGTTTTTAGGTTTTAATTTGATTTTTATATATTTTTAAATCGATTTTGTTTTTATTAAAAAAAAAACAGGCCTGTAACAGTCTTATTTTTTAGAGAACAACATTCTGTGACGTTAAATTAAATCGTTTTAAATATACTACGATTTTATTGATTAATTAATATTTAACGTTCATTTGTTTATGTCCAACATATTCAACTTTTTTTTAAAGACACCCTATAAATTTTTTTCAATTCTTGTTGATTTTTTTTTTTTTTTAAATTCATTGATGTCATATTTTGCTGAGAAGTTTTGGTAAAAATTAATTTACTTTTTGTGTTAAAACGACTGAAGCAAGTTTCAAATTTTTTTAGCTTTTATTAAAATACAGCACTATTTAAATTTGAAAATAAAATTTCTTCTACACGAAAATAATGAAATACGAAACCCCCGTAGAACTGTCAAAGTGAACTCTAATGAAATCCAAGTTAGCATCCAATTTTTAGATTGAAGTAGCAAAAACGGCAAACTATACTCGAACATTAACCTCGTAGGCAATTTAAAGAAAAAGTGATAAAATTATTACACAAGAAAACTTAAGCAACGTTTGAGAATTGTTTAATTAAGACAAATTAAGACAAAACAACGCAAAGTGGAAATGCCCCAAAAAGGATACATTAAAAACGTTCTAGAACGTCTTGGTACACAGATTAAACTCACAAACCAGTACGAATGCCAGCCAAGTCCGTGCTAAACTTTACAAACAGGAAACCCCGTGAAAAAAAATCCCACGCAAAAACTTCCCTAGCAGAAGCTTATCAATTGTTTGATGTACATAGGAGTGGCGACACGACTTGATAGTGCATGTCCTATCAGCTATTCGGGTCAATTCAATCCAAACTACGAACAGCAACATTGGAATGCACCAACAAGGATGCTGAAGGTTTTTTTAGAGCAATGATTGTCACATAACAATAAGAAATTGTATTTAAAATAATAAACTTGAATACTTAACGATTCCTTGGCAAGGAATCGAACAGGAACAAAAAAATCAAACTAAAATCTTTCTCGAGCTTAAAACAATTTATTGTGGAAGACTGGTACACGTTTTACAGATTTAAGTTTAGTATAGTAGAATCTGTAAAATCTCCGCTACCTTTTGTTAATTTCAACTAGGTACATTAAGTTCTGCCGAAGACAGTACTCTGTACCGAAAAATGATGGAGTTTAAAAAGTATCCACCACAAATAAACATTTGGGAAATAATTATGGAATATCCATCTAATCGAACATCATATTTGAGAGGACTGTGACCACTCAGTAGTACTGAAACTGACAAAAAAAAAAAAAGGATGATGTCCGAAACTACCAGAGCGATTACTTTAAATTTTAGGAGTCGAAAAAAACGCACGGTATATTTAGCGCAAAGACAAAAATAATAACAGATGATTTTTCATATAATATTTAAAAAACTACGACGTTGACAATGTCTAGTGCCGATAATCTAAGAAAATCCTTCACTATCATTAAAAAATAATAATAAAAATATAATTATAGCGGGTCAAACCTCACTTTCAACTTTAATTAAATTCAAGAATCCGCGTCTAGGGAATTTAAATCAACAATGTTCGAAATAATATTCTTGAAAATACTAGCTGGACCAACAAGGATATGGCTCATGGAGTTATTTACTTAAAAATAAATAAATAAATAAACAAATAAATAAATAAATAAATAAAAATCTGCAAAGGTGGGTACTGCAAACGCCTGAATTTTCTATTTGCGGATCTCCGCGACCTTTAGTGACTGAGTGGGTAATTTATGGTGCTTCAGAAGCAAAGTAACAACCTTACATCTTGTTCAATGGGATACATTTTAAAAACTGGAACCCAAAATAAAGCCTACCATTTCAAAAACTATTGATGACGGTGTAACCCCATTATTACTGTTAACCAGAAATTTTCAAATTTTGGTCAAAAAATGTAACCCGAGTCAAAGAAAGTTGTCCGAACGCCTTGATCAATTTTTAGTGTACAATTGTTATCCATTTTTTTCCGAACACACTGTATCTTAAGTTACGGCTGTATGTATTTCTCTTGCACGCAACATACTCAAGTTACGCATCACTTAAATTCCTTTTTGTTATTTACTGTTGTGTCAATATTTACATTAGAAGATTTTATACAATACGACAGATATAAACGTGTAGACTCTATAGCTCAGTCAATATTGGTACAAGGTGATAGTCGATTAAATTCTGTATCTTAAAACATTCGTTGACAATAAACAATGTGCAAATGTTATAAAATCACGCCGTTATTAATTTACAAAATTAATTTGGCCACACAACGTACATGCATCAATCTATGTAAAAAATTAGTACACACATTTCTGTCTTCAACCACATCACGAAACTAGAAAAATAACACTAGAAAAATAATGCAAAAAACACGCCTGTATAAGGTGAGTGGAAAAACACGCATGCATACAACTAGCTTCGAAAAATCAAGTTCACACAGATTAGTCTCAAATACCTCATTCCCAAACGTTTCTTCCTCAGAATCGGAATTTTGTTGTGCGATCTTGCGTGAAAACAAACCAATTTTGCTTAGAAGAAACAAACCGATTGGTGTGTGTGTTTTCTCGTGTGAAACTAAGGAATTTTATGCTTACCTTGCTGGTAAAATCAAAGGCCACATGCTGCTCGTCGTGAATAACGGACACTGTGTATTTGTCGCTGCCAGAAGACCGAGGAAGACCACCGGAAAACACGATCAAGGGTTTGCCGTTTAGTTCTCTTCTGACGATTTTTGGAATTGCCCGGCACGCAAATGGGCCATAAGTTGTTACAGGCTCGTTGGAAGGTTTGTTCTCGTCCAGATCCCAAGCCATGTAACTACCTAAAAAAAATTATTAAGTAGTTTTATTAACAGTATTGACCACTTTCAAAAAACCTACATTAATTGGCAAACCGAAAATTAATAATCACGTTAACATGACATTAAAACTGGAAATTATGAAAATATCGACAATTTTCTTTCGTATTTTCTATAATTAAACCAACCTGAAATAATAAATCTGATTTGAGAACGGTGCCGAAATTAAAAGATGATTTGCACAATTTAGAGTAATATTAGTAAAAAAAAAAATAAAGAAAAATATTTACCATAATTTGTATGAAATCTGATGGTTATTAAAAAATATTATCTTTTTTATTTACTGCTATATCATTCGAATTTACCTTGTCCTTATTAACCAAATAAATATGTATTAACTTTTACAATTCTACTCGAGAATGACATACAAAAGAAAAAATAGTGCTAATGTTAAAAATTGACAACAATGTGTGGAGAATACCATCTGCAATATTAGTATACCATCGCAGCTAACATAATGACTTTCAATAAATTTTTTCTTTACATTCACATCAACAAAGGCTGATAAAAACATACAAAATATACAGGATAACACGAGGGGATGAGCTGTCAAACATTAATGACACTCTCAGAGCAACTATATATTGTTATAAGTAAAAGTGGCATTGCAACTCAAAGTAAATATGCATAAAAATAATAATAATAACTAAGTAAATTCAAAGTCGTAAGGTAACTGTAAGATTTGAATGATTAAGCAAAAATGCTGAGGTATCGATATCAGATTAGTAAATGAAAGGAAGGCAATAACGAGGAATTTTAATGGCATGTTACAATTACTTTTAACCCGAAAAATGTTTTCTTTTGAAAGGGAACCTCTTTTAAATTCATTTAAACTTATCTAGCCACCAAATTGAGTAGTACCAACACTTACTTAATATTCGCACTCATTTATCTTTGAAACTACCAAAAGAAATAAAACTTTTGGCATATCATATTAAATGAATTGAACATCTACATTTACTCTGGTACAAAGAAAAACATATTTATTGTGCTAAAAATCTCAGTAAGTAGGGTAGAACGGTCATTAATGTAGGTTATATTCTTCTGTTAGTGTGATGATGTTAAAGTCTTAATCAGCTATGTATTTTTCTGTACCAATCGCGTAAGAACGTTATCTATGTTCTGTCAACAAATTTTTGGGTAACTAGATCAGAAATCACAAAAATTACAAGGTGTAATTCGAATATTCACTTGACGTATAAGTGATCCTTGCAAATATAACATCAATTTTGCTTAAAACCACACACGAATTCTCACAAAAGTTTAAAACGTGAAGTTATGTCAAAGTTTTATTACTTTCTATTGGGAAATTAAAAACGAAACAATTGCGTCATATATAATGACGTATCATTTTTAAATCCCCACACCTGCAAACAATGAAAAAACTTAAAACGTTACCATAATGCAAAACAAAAACACCATTTAAGTTGCAAAAGTATAATACATTATTATAAGGACGATAAAACGCAATAAATATTTTTTTATTTACTTGTATTGACAAAACAATTTGGTGATTTATTGTTCAGTTCAATTCACATCAATACCGTCAAATTATATTATGATTTGGTAGTCCAAAAATTATTTCAGAATTAAAATATTATATGAAACAAGATAATCCGGCAAATTATTCCCTATTTGAAGTGAATACAATTTAACCCGAATGGTTATAAAAAATCGGCAAAGAGACATCAAACAGCTAACAACGGTAGGTAATAAAAATAAATTAAATTTCTGATAAATTTTAATGGCTTGATTGATGTAGGCAGGCACCAATAACCACTTGACATCCAACCAGACAGCTCTTTGAATACATCATCACTTCTGGACGACGACAGCTTTAGATTTTATAAAGTGCGGTCTTGAAAAACTTACGACAAATTTTTAGTACTTCATTTTTTTTACGTAAAAGTTATCTCAAATTGGAAATATTTTTTTAAGAAGTAGTGTAAATGTGTATTTCTGTACAAACGCTGTACTATAATGGAACAAATGGAAAAATACCCGCCCTGATCAAAAAAACTTTTGATAACATCATATCGTGACTATGACAACGAAGACAGAAACATCATTAGTGGAAAAGATTCTAATTTTGTCATTATCTTCGGGCATAAAATTTTTATGAGTATCATTCGTCAAACATAAACATTAGAACATAGGTGATTATAACATTTCAGCAAAAGAACAAAAATTAATAATTTAAACCACTATACCGTAGTTGTGATAAACAATTCAATATCTGATAACGATTAAATTGATGACATACAGGGTAAGACAATACAAACTTCCTGATGAGTTCATTAATACCCAGAAACTCATTGTGTAAGCAGCATACGTATATATGATTCAAAAAGTCTCCGAAAAATACGAACACTCAATCGATCTTCTTATCACTCGATAAACGATAAGAAAATTACACGTTTTGAACAGGCCATAATAAATCAAGCAATAACCCTAATCTGTATCCATTACACAACCACAATATCGAAGTTTCGCCTGTATTGTCGTTAATACGCTTCTCAAGTCTCGCAATTAACTTCACCTAGTTTGTTGCAATACTTTATTTATACCTTATCACGACTGATTACTTGCTGGCTTAAATTTTAATAACAGGGAGTGGCTACATACACCGAGATACACGTACGAACTTACCGTCGTTGTGGGAACTAGTAAAAGACTTTCCATCTTCATGCCAACACAGTGATTCCAACTGTTGATTAGAAACAAAAGTCTTAACTGACGTATTGTCGTCGCGATTCCACAACACAATTAGACCTCTGTTATAGCCTATCAGGATGTGATTCGGGTGCTCCGGTTGCTCGATGATGGATTCCACTGCCCCCGGATTTAATTTATAGTCTTGAGGCACACTGGAACAATTAGAAAACATCAACCAAATGAAAACGATCTCAACGAAAACACAACAAAACTTACTCTGCCTTCGCCACTTTTACTTTAAACGTGCGACAAATGCTCAACAAGTGCTTCTGATTGAAAAGATTCCCACTACTAGAAGTCAAGAATCAATCGCAAATTTTGCAAAACTGGCGATGAAGTGTGGCCCTTTTATAGTAGAGTTTTATCGTTCGGTCCATGTACACGAAAAGGTGAAATGCTATGACCAAAGAAATCTTATTCCAAAGTGAACAGAAATAGTTTTTCAAAAATTGATATCTGAATATTTCGAACAGTTTTAAAAAATCACTAATGCGTTTTAAAAATAGTTTTACAATTCCTAGTTTCCTGATTTAATACTATTCCACAAAGGAAAAAAAAGATATTTTATGGAAAAAAAAAACACCTCTATAAAACCAAAGTCTAGAAATTTTTCCCCGTAATCCATGAGGGATTGCGCAATTGTCAGCTGTCCGATCGTTTAGACCATAAGTGTGTGTGTTGCAATTTTTTAGAGATAATGTAAAGATAAAGGTTTCTCGAACCTCCAATTGATCCTATCTAAAATGAGTCAAATATTTTTTCTTTTAACGTACAAGCCTCGTTATAAAAAATAAAATTCATGGAATCAAATTTTATAAATTATGTAAGAAAATGGATCTGTTTGATGATTCATCAGGTGCGAGAAAAGTTGTGTCCAAAAAACGTTGGATCAATTTTTCTGATTTGCAACAAAATTATCCTGTATCAAAAATTGAAATTTTGGGAAAAAAAGGTACTACTAACTTTGGTTGTAATAAAAAAATAATAACTGTCTTCGAAAGCAAGTGAATTTTTCTTCTGCACTAATTACATCGCTAACAAAGTTAAAAAAATGTTACGGAATAAGATTCCTATCGTGTCACTCGTGTTTACCTTTCCGTGCAAACGGAACTAATCTCCAGTCTGAAACTCTACTATCGGGGAGTAAGATGACTTACTTTTGCATCACTACATCTTGGTAAATTATATCAGGTGTCATCGTAAAACTGCTCAAATCCAGAAGATAGATATTACCACCTTCTGTACCCAGCAGAAGATGCTTCCCAGCTGTTTCCACACACATAGTCGAAATCTTCTTCAACTTCCCTTCCAGAGCTTGGCACTTCACTTCCACCAAGCTACTCTTATTCACCTCCCACAAATGAAGGGAGTTATCGTCACATAACGTGACCACACGACCCTGATTCGGGAGGAAAACGACCTGAGTGACGGGAATAGGATTTTGGTGCTGTCCATAGAACTCCACCCCTGGACGTCCGAAGACCTTGACGGCTCCAGTGGCGGTCCCGATGCATAGAAGCCGGAGCGACGGGTCCCATGCCAATGCCGTCGGTTTATGGGGGAATCCGTGTTGGAGCGTCTGTAAATAATTTTTTTTGGAGGTGATGTCACGATCAATTGAAGATCAAGGACGATGACATATTTTAGACTAAAAAAGAGATTCCATCGGCGGCTACTTTATGCAGTTATTGCCAATTTAGGATGGGCACACGTGTTCAGGGGGCCTTCGATTTATATAAATTTAACCTTTTGTATGGTGTGGGACGCTGTGTTATTACACACAATGACATCTCAATAACGGGTGTCTAATAGTTCAAAGTGAATTCGGACTGGTTTCTTATCGCTTCACTAAATAAAAAATGTGTGGGTCTGTCAAAGTGTAACAATCGCATATGGGGTTTGATGCGATAATGTATAATGAACATCTAACAATATTAGAACAGCAGTGGTGGGCTTACAATGTACAAGCAATCAAAAGTCTTCCTTAACGACTTGCGTATTGTTTTAAAGATAAAACGCTGTGAGTAAACAACACCTCCGATAAAACTTACTAACCTTAATACAATGAATATTAATTATTACATAACGACGGTATATTACAGAAAATGTGGAATGTATTTCTGGTCATACAATACATACAAAATATTACCTATACACTTTATGGCACAATGTTTAGAAGATCCCCAACAGACAGACAACAGTTACACTAATGGATTCTTTTACAATTATGTAAACTTGCAATTCATACGATTGTTTCACAGTTGCATTATTTTCTAGATAGGTGATTATTTCTTAATAACTAGTTATTTGGACCCAGTAAATACTCGTACATGCACGAGAATTGCATTTAAATTTATTTCTTTCAGGATACATATTTCGTAACTACTATTTGTTATATAATAATTTAAAAGATTCGATAAAGTTAATTCAACAGTAACTACCTGTGCATATATTTAACAAATGAAAATGCCAAGCGTTCAAAAAACGGAATAAACAAATCTGTAAAAATTCCTGCTTGATAACAAGAAAATTTTTGGATTTGTAATTACATTTACTATGATAGACGAATATCACGATTTTTTCACTAATACTTCTATGTGATTTTTTTTATTCGTGATATAGTTTTCACTGCCCATAAGGTCACCAAATTACGTAAGTGATCTCTTAGAACATAGAACATACAAGATAAAACGTACATTGTACTTTGTTTTCATTTTTATAAATTCGTTTCTCTTATTGTTTTTCCAATTTTCAACAAAATTTAGTCTTCTTTAAACTTACATCTTTATTTGAGAGTGAATCGAAACTATCTAGTTGTGTTTTGGCACCGAAGCAATTCAAATTCATTTCGTAACGACCAGCAAATGGTTATATGAAGCCCGATCCTGTTTTAAGGGATTTCGTGACGAATTCCCTGGTGTTGCTGTCCTTGAATATATATTTTTTAAATCACTCAATTATGTGATGAAATTATTTCTTGAGACTGGTAGTATTAAGAGGAAATCAGGAAGTCGCACATTAACAAAACAAACTCCCGATCCTGTTGAAAATGTCCGACAAGTTATGGATGACAACTCCCATACATCTTTAAGAAGGGTTTATCAACAAGTTGACTTGTCATTTTCAACTTGTTCAACCACCTAATAATGAAAAGAGAATGAGATAAAGCCTGGTTTCATACATCAGTGTATGTAAACTTGCAAATTATGACCATGTGGAATGCAGAAAATCGTCATTATTTTGAAGAAACAGCATTAACGCCCACGAAAAATTGGAGTTTGGTGTTCCGACTGCGAGATATCAGAACATGCTCCAACAATTTATTGACCAGCTTGATCCAGAAGAATTGCAGAATGAATATTTTCAACACGACGGTGCAACAGCTCATACAAGTTTGAACTTTCTAAGGAAATTCTATGCGACGAGGTCTTTGTAACTTACAGAAAATATGCTAGTAATCCTTAAACCTATTTTATCGGTCTGCAAGTGCATTTCTTGATTGCAGGTTTAAATTACTTTTGGCATTTTGAACGTAATTGTTTGACGTTAATGTCTTTTTACTTCTTTGAATAAAAAAAGATTATTTTTCTTATCTCTAAAAAGTGGGAAACTAGCATGCTTGAAAGACACGTGCCAGATGTGATAATAAAAACACCACGTCAGTCAGCCATGGTGGCCAACAAATATAAAAAAAAACATACTCTACCAAAGTTAAAAAGGTCGTACAACAATTACTATTTCAGTTAGTATCAATAAATTTTGCTTGAAATTACTTCCTGTTGTCGAAAGTGGCATTGTTAACAGTGACATTTAATTTAAATCAAAATTTGTTATTGATTATTATTATTATTATTATTATTAGAATATCGTAACCTAACTTTCTTGAAGGCTTTAAAGTGAAACCACAAGAAAAATTTATCAGAATTAGTTAAGTCTATTGCCAACTCACACAGCATTTGTTGATCACGCTGTACATATTCTAACTTTGAGATTTCGAAAAAAGACTTAATGAATTTATTCCTTCTTTTAATTTTATACACTCGATTTTACAAAGTTCTGTGATGAATATTAAGCAAATATGAAATGACAAGTAGCTATAAAAAGATCGTTACTCGGCGCCGTTAAGCCATTTTATAGCAAGTTGTAACTTATTTTTCATATACTAGAAAGAGTAAAGTACGCCCTGATTGCTTTTATGAATACACCCTCCAGCCATTTCTGTGTTTATTGACTTTATAACATATACCGATTTCGATAATATATTTTATATTTGTCTCATTTAGAAGCCTTTTTTAACATCTGCTTGACCTAATTCTGAGAACTTCAGCGTTTTTACTTGTCATTGTTGGTAACATGGTAACATTTTTGTATACCTCAGCAATTTAAATTTCATGATCCGAGAAGCTTAACGACCAAATTTTATATGCACTGCATCCTAACACTTTGATTTGAGAAGATATATTTGTACTAAGTCGTGCAGCAATTTCTCTGTCTAAAATAACGTATGTATACAATTTTGTTGCAAAATTTACAGAACGTGTTCTCTAATCTCACTAAAACGTTATAGTAAAGTACGAATATCACAAACCATGTTTCTACAACATTCAATAATACCATTTAAAACAATAACAATACTAAAAAAAGTTAATATATTTGAAAGGTGGTTAATGAACTGAAAAAAAACAGAGTATTCATTGTGCAATGTAATTTTACCAATCTTGCGGTTAATTCTGAAAGGCGTGCTAACAAATATCAATAACTCTATCACGTCAATGTACTCTGTGAACACTGCAAAGTTTGTACCAAAATCGCATCCACATACATATGCTGTTGTGTTAAAAAATGAACATCCCCGTTGAAATTGAAAGCACATTGGAACTTCCAATGAATAGTGTAACACAAAAACGTGGTATTAGGGTTTATTTTAAAATGCCCTACACTCAGGCCGAGCCGGTTATTCCTATGCTTCGCTTCGCTGTGAGACATTACTAATGGATCAGAAATCCAGCCGAAACCCGAAGTTTTATAGTTTACAACAATATTATATATTTTGCAACTTATAGTTATTATAAATATTGTAAAAGTTTAGCAAGATACTCTACTTCTTTGGTAACTTGTAAAAATTATTCGATGAAGTGTCAGTGCTTAAAACTGAAAAAAATAAGAAGTATTCTCGAATATCTTAGCACTCCTACGGTTACAAAATTTTTTAAACGCAAAAAAGTCGCATTGATACGATAACCGTGCTTATGGTAAAGAGCGATGACGCGACTGGTTAAAAATTACAAACTTTTCCAAGAACTGTTACATAATCAAATTATTCACTGGTATTTCTTCCATATCAGTATAGCATCAGCGAAAGTAACATATTTGTTCGATTACGATTTAACATCTACAAACTCGTTCAACTAAAATGAATCCAACCTGAAAAGCAAAAACCGTGTTTTGAAAATATGATACATTCATCTAAAAACATCAGTATGTTTAAAACATTGTGTACCCTTCAAATTTCAAAATTCTTACATAGGGTGTATGTACCTATTTAAGCAGCTGGAATTAATTTTTTTACAAAACGAGAGCGGTTTTTAGCCGAGGCGTCCATATTTTTGAAAAAAATCAAAAATGTATAATCACATCTTGCAATTTAATTTTGAAACTCAAAACCGAATGCTCTGAAATAAAATAATTTAAAATTATACAATTTTTCAGTTTTTTGATTTTACAATCGATTTCTCGGTTGTCCGATGTTTAAATGAATAAGTTTTTCAATTTTTGAATTATCAGGTTTCCCAATTTCTCGATTATTCAATTCAATTATTTGGCAATTTTTTATTTTTACTGCTTAATAAATTTTGAAGTTTACAATTAACCAATTTTTTCAATATTGTCATTTTACAATTTTTCAATTTTTGATATTTAATTGTTCAAAATTTCAATTTTATTTTTTCAGTTCATTTGCCAATTTTTCGTTTTTATTTTGATTTTTCAGTTTTACATTTTTACAATTTTTGGATGTCTCAATTATTCGGTTTTTAATTAACAAGGTCCCAAGTTTCAATTTTATAGTTCTTCGTTTTCAAAATTTTCCGTTTTTTCAATTAATTCAGTTTTTTGATTTTTTAATTTTTCAAAATTTCGATTTTCTATTTTTTAAGATTTTTGTTTTTCAATTTCATATTTTTGCAGTTTTTCAGATTGACAGTTTAATAATTTTTCAGTTTTCTAATTTCGCCATTTTTTAACTTCTCTGTTTTAAATTTTTAGATTTTTGCGATTTCTCAATTATCCTTAATCTCAATTTTTGAATTTTCAATTACCAGATTTTCCAATTTTTCCATTTTTTTAAACTGAACGACAAGAAAAATTCACGCTTTAACTATGGAAGCGTAAAAAAAGTGATTTACAAACACTATGTAGAGGACATCGTTCAAAAAATTCTAATACTCATGAAGCATTAATGAAAAGGCGCAGGCTCCGAAAATTGATTATTTAACTCTGAGAAAGAAAATTTCGTAGCATGTCACTGGACTCGATAAAAAAGAGATCCGAAACTGAAATTCTCTTCTAGTCAGTGTTCAG